GGCAGTGCGGCTTTGCTGCACGGAGGAAGCAGACGACTCACAGCACCACGCACCTCCCACTCCGGAGCCCGTTACCGGGCTCCTGTACAATGGGAGAGAGCGCTCACGGTGCCCGCCGAGTACCACGTCCACAGGCTTCTTCCGCCTGTGGTTTTTTCGGGTCCCCGCTGCGCCGTAGCGGCAGGACCCAAGCCTCCGTGCAGCGGGTTCCCTTCAGTCCGAAGGGAATTCCGCCATTTTCCGGAGGCGCCACCCCGGAAGTCCAGCACTAACACTTTGAATTGTGTTCGGAAACGTACTGGGAGCCAGTGTAGGTCTTTCAAGACTGGTGTTATATGGTCTCTGCGGCTGCTCCAAGTCCCCAGTCTAGCTGCCGCATTCTGGATTAGTTGTAGTTTCCGCGTCACCTTCAAAGGTAGCCCCACGTAGAGCGCATTGCAGTAGTCCAAGCGGGAGATAACCAGAGCATGTGCCACTCTGGCAAAACAGTCTGCAGGCAGATAGGGTCTCATCCTGCGTACCAGATGGAGCTGGTAAACAGCTGCCCTGGACACAGAACTGACCTGCGCCTCCATGGACAGCTGTGAGTCCAAAATGACTCCCAGGCTGCGCACCTGGTCCTTCAGGGGCACAGTTGCCCCATTCAGGACCAGGGAGTCCTCCACCCCCCCCGCCCCCTGTCCCCCAAAACAGTACTTCTGACTTGTCAGGATTCAATCTCAATCTGTTAGCCGCCATCCATCCTCCAACCGCCATTCAGAGGCATAGACTGCCTCCAAGGCTACTGGGGTACTGGGTTTCAGGCAGGATGTTGCCCCAGCCCTACCAGGCGGGGCTGGAAACCATAGAATCGTAGAACTTCAGTTCAAAGGGAACCCCAGCGATCATCTAGTCCAACCCCCCGTCAATGCAGGAATCTCAGCTAAAGCAGCCAGGGCAGATGGCCATCCAACCTCCTTCTCCGATGAAGGAGAAGGAATCAAACTGCTCCACTGCAGAGCTGCAGACCCAAAATGCATAATTGTTTTTGTCACATCGTGCAGCCAATTGTGAAAAAGTGCGAGAGCAGTTTTTGGCTGGGCGGTGCCATTACGGCACAGGCGGGGCCGGATTTAGGTTTGACAAGGCCCTAGGCTCCTGAAGGCAATGGGGCCCTTTATATGTCCAGCTGTCCTTTGTCAACAACAAATTGACACTTTTTTGTGTCGAATATATAATCATATATATACACGGGTGCTGCTGTGGGTTAAACCACAGAGCCTAGGACTTGCCGATCAGAAGGCTGGCGGTTCGAATCCCCGTGACGGGGTGAGCTCCCGTTGTTCAGTCCCTGCTCCTGCCAACCTAGCAGTTCGAAAGCACCTCAAAGTGCAAGTAGATAAATAGGTACCACTCCGGCGGGAAGGTAAACGGCGTTTCCGTGCACTGCTCTGGTTCACCAGAAGCGGCTTAGTCATGCTGGCCACATGACCCGGAAGCTGTACGCCGGCTCCCTCGGCCAGTAAAGCGAGATGAGCGCCGCAACCCCAGAGTCGGCCACGACTGGACCTAATGGTCAGGGGTCCCTTTACCTTTACCTATATAATCATATCAATCTTTATTACAGTCCAGAGACCCAACAAATTGTTACAAAGCAATACACAATTCATACAGCCCACCTGCAGGTTAAACAAGCATTTTGTTCAGAATATAGGGATCATTGGTTCTTGCAACCACCGATAAAAACTTCGCCACTGCTAATGTTCTAGCGTTTGTCCGGTCTTCCAATAGGAACCTGACATAGTGAGCCTCTGATTTTCCCGGGAAAGGTACCAGGAAGGGTAATATCAGTTCAGCCCTGGCTGAGCCACGTGCGCAGCCGGCTCACGACAACCGTGTCTCTCTCTCTCTCTCAGGCGAACCGGCCTGCTTCCCATCCCAGGATTATTTTCAGATGAAGCAAATTATCCACCTTAATCCCCACCGGGGCCAATTATTCCCCCGTAAAGAAGCTTGCCGTTTAGCCGCTTGCTGGCCGCGATGGCGGATCTGGCAAAAGAGGTGTCAGGGAACATCAGTGTCAGTGGTTTCGCGGCGGGGAGGGTGGTGTGTGAGATAGGAACCGTGGAACTGTCGAATCGGAAGGGGCCACGAGGGTCCCCTTTTGCCCAGTGCGAAACTCGAACCCGTGACCCTTGCTCCATCAAGCGGTGCCCATAGACACCCATAGATCTGATGGCAGTTCACAACAACAAAAAATGACAGCATTGCAGCAGGAGAAATGGCTGCTCTAACGGGAAAGAGGAACCAGCCACCCCAGAACAAATCCTGGGTTGTGAATGATTGACAGGTGACCATCTGCAAAGTGGCACTGGACCGTCTTCCTAACCCACAGTTCACCCAAGTGTGCAGCCCCAGCAGAAAACTTTCCAGGGTTATTTTCATGCAAAAAAGGCTTCCTTTTCGCAAATGAATTAACAAATTATGCAAATTGCAAACACAGATAATACGTTTAAAGCACTCTTTGAATGTTTAAGCAGCGTTCAGTGCCGCATGCACTGAGTCCCCCCCCCCAAAAAAATCCTAGGAATTGTAGTTCTCGCCCTCCCACAACACAGGTACTCTAGTTGTGGCTGTCAAAGTGCATTGGAACTAGTTGAACAGCACCAAAGTGCATTGAAGAGGATTGCTGGGGTGCTGCCTCTAACTGTCAGCAGGTGGCGCTGTTTTATTACCTTCCCCTGCTCTGAAGAACGTTCTGCTTTAAGGAATGGCAAGTTTGGTGGCAACTTTAGGGGTGGCAGGAGGAGTGAGGGAAGGACCATTGCCTTTGCCTAAATATGTCATATTTGGCTTGATTTGCAGTCAGCGAAGAGGCTGGGGAAAAGAATGGCTGCTGTCTCCAACCAGGTGCCCTCCAGGTGATCTGACTGCAGCTCTTATCAGCTCTGGCCAGCTTCCCTGGCTATGTGTAGTCCCTAATTCTGTGGACACAGTTCCAAATTCAGCATTCTCAACTTGCTTGCTTAAACAAAAGCAAGTTTCTAGACCTTAAGGTGCTTCAGCCAGCCTCCGCCTCCCTCTCCTTAATTCACCTGCCCAGTTGTTTCAACTCCCTCTTCTTTCGTCTCAGGGTTGCCCTTGTAGAATTTAGCAAAGCTGGGGGCAAAACTAGAACGAGTTGGCTCTGCTGTGGCGCCACCTACTGTTGGCCTCCCTTGTCTTCTGCCAATAGACCACTATTCGAATGGGGTCCATGTTGAATTCCCAGCATTTGGCGGTTTCAGATGACTCTAGTCTCGCCGCCCCGTGAGTGGCAGAAGCAGATTAAAATTATGAAAGCTTTCTTGATCTACGTAATTCAGACGGGCCACGGTACCCCACCTCTTCCAGCTGTGGAAGAATAATTAATCGTTGTTGTTTAGTCGTGTCCGACTCGTCGTGACTCCATGGACCAGAGCACGCCAGGCCCTCCTGTCTTCCACTGCCTCCCGCAGTTTGGTCAGACTCATGTTTGTAGCTTCGAGAACACTGTCCCACCATCTCGTCCTCTGTCGTCCCCTTCTCCTTGTGCCCTCCATCTTTCCCAACATCTTTCCAGGGAGTCTTCTCTTCTCATGAGGTGGCCAAAGTCTTGGAGCCTCAGCTTCAGGATCTGTCCTTCCAGTGAGCGCTCAGGGCTGATTTCCTTCAGAATGGAGAGGTTTGATCTTCTTGCAGTCCATGGGACTCTCAAGAGTCTCCTCCAGCATCAGAATTCAAAAGCATCCATTCTTCAGCGATCAGCCTTCTTTATAGTCCAGCTCTCACTTCCATACATCACTGCTGGGGAAACCATAGCTTTTACTATACGGACCTTTGTTGGCAAGGTGATGTCTCTACTTTTTAAGATGCTGTCTAGGTTTGTCATTGCTTTTCTCCCAAGAAGCAGGCGTCTTTTAATTTTGTGGCTGCTGTCACCATCTGCAGTGATCATGGAGCCCAAGAAAGTAAAATCTCTCACTGCCTCCATTTCTTCCCTTTCTATTTGCCAGGAGGTGATGGGACCAGTGGCCATGATATAATAATAATAATAATAATAATAATAATAATAATAATTTTATGTATACCCCTGCCCTGGGTTTCCCCAGTGGTGACTGTCAAAGTCCATTGGAGCTAGTCTATTGGAACTAGTTGAACACCCCCCTTTGCCTCCTGATTCCGTGGGTCGCATGGGGCTGAGGCCCAGACTATTTGAAGGACAACAAACCCGCCTGAGATCTGGGGTCCCTAGGAGAAGGCCTTCTCTCAGTCCCGCCACCCTCACAGGGCCTGCTTGGTGGGGACGTGCGACGGGGCCTTCTCAGTGGTGGCTCCTCCTAGACAACTTTGGAACTCCCTTCCGAGAGAAGCCAGACTGGCTTCCTCCTTGCTGTCCTTCTGCTGGCAAGAGAAGATGCTTTTATTCCCGCAGGCCGTTGGGGAACGGACTCTTCTTCTTTTTTAAGAAAACGGCTTTTAAAAGCGCTGTGCTATTATCTGCATTTTAACAGATTTTTTTAAATAAAAAAATATCATTTTGATTCTGCGAAAGTGATTTTTAGCCGTTCCCTTGGTATGTTTTTAGCTTTCGGCATTGCATCTGCATTGTTTTTTGAGTTTGCGTAAGCCGCCTTGCGCCCTGGTGTGGAGAAAGGGTGGGATATAAATAAATAAATCTATTTATTTTATTTTATAGATTTCTTTATTTATATCGCATCCTTTGTGGGAGGGTGGCGGGAGGAAGGGGAAATGGGTGGGGGAAATAAGGATGATATGTTTTTGGATAATATGTTTCGTTTTAATTTTGAATAATAAAAAAAGAAATTAATAATAATACAAAGACTTGAAGTCTGAGCCAAAACATGTGCCAACACCCTCAGTGACCTGCGCCCCCTGTTTCTTGCTCATTTTCTTTTTCCCCCAAATGCTTTTTATTGAGATTTAAGAACACCAGCACCGACCAACAAAAACATCAAGTCTTGTTACATATATCCTACTTTATGCTCCATAGAGCCGTTGACTTCCGTCCTTCCCTTCTGCCGGTTTTCTTATTCCAATCTATAATTCACAGTTTCATTGGTTAAAAATTACACCGTGACATAAGACTTAATTCAGTCCTGCCAACGTTTTAATATTTCTACAGTTCTCACTTATGTAAACCATAAATTTACTCCATTCTTTTTGGTACGTCGTCTCCTCCTGATTGCGAATTTTGTGTGTCAATTTTGCCATTTCAGCGTATTCAACCAACTTTATCTGCCATTCCCTTACAGTCGGAATCTCCTGTGACTTCCACTTTTGGGCTATCAAAACTCTAGCTGCTGTTGTTGCCTACAAATATAATCTTTGGTCTGTCTTCTTAGTATCTTCTCCCACCAAGCCTAGCTTTTTGGAAAAGTATATTTAAACGTCTTTTTCTCGCCCGTTTTCTTCCAGGGTGCAATAGTGGAGAAGAGGATTCTCGCCAAAGTCCACAGCCGATTCATCGTCACCCTGGCGTACGCCTTCCAAACCAAGAATGACCTCTGCCTCGTCATGACGCTGATGAACGGAGGAGACCTCAGGTGGGAGACCCTTTTGCGGGGCAAAAATGTCGGGGTCGTGCTCTCCAAACTGGACCGGAAAGTTCTGCCTGTAGTGCGGCCAACACAGAGATACAACACAGACATCTTCTGTCCCGGGTCATTTTTACAGATTCTGCCACCGGAGATCTTAGATCAGGGGTCAGCAAACTTTTTCAGCAGGGGGCCGGTCCACTGTGCCTCAGACCTTGTGGGGGGCCGGACTATATTTGGGGGGGGGGTGAATGAATTTCTATGCCCCACAAATAACCCAGAGATGCATTTTAAATAAAAGCACACAGTCTACTCATGTAAAAACACGCTGATTCCCGGACCATCCGCGGGCCGGATTGAGAAGGCGATTGGGCCAGATCCGGCCCCCGGGCCTTAATTTGCCTACCCATGTCTTAGATCTTAGTGGGGTAGGATTGTGGGGGGGGGGGGTGTGTCACATTATTGTTATTAACAAGAACAAGAACAAGAACAATAATAATTTATTATTTATACCCTGCCCATTTGGCTGGGTTTCCCCAGCCACTCTGGGTGACTTCCAACAAAATATTAAAAATACAATAAAACATCAAACATTAAAAACTTCCCTAAACAGGGCTGCCTTCAGATGCCTTCTAAAAGTCAGATAGTTGTTTATTTCCTTGACATCTGATAGGAGGGCGTTCCACAGGGAGGGTGCCACCACCGAGAAGGCCCTCTGCCTGGTTCCCTGTAAGTTCACTTCTCGCAGGGAGGGAACCGCCAGAAGGCCCTCGGTGCTGGACCTCAGTGTCCGGGCTGAACGATGGGGGTGGAGACGCTCCTTCAGGTATGCAGGGCCTTTGAGGCCGTTTTGGGCTTTCAAGGTCAGCACCAACACTTTGAATTGTGCTCAGAAACGTCCTGGGAGCCAATGTGGGTCTTTCAGGACTGGTGTTATGTGGTCTCGGGGGCCGCTCCCAGTCTGAAAACCAGCGCACCTCTTTCGTTTCAGATAGTACACAGGAAGGGACACAAATTTTCACGGCCCTCTAGCCATGGCTCATTTACCAGAAGCAATGTATTTAGTGTTAACTCTGGAAGTCTGTACAGTGGTACCTTGGTTAATAAACTTAATTTGTTCTGGAGGTCCGTTCTTAATCTGAAACTGTTCTTAACCTGAAGCACCACTTCAGCTGATGGGGCCTCTTGCTGCTGCCGCGGTGCAATTTCTGTTCTCATTCTGAAGCAAAGTTCTTAACCCGAGGTACTATTTCTGGGTTAGCAGAGTCTGTAACCTGAAGCGTATGTAACCCGAGGTACCACTGTATTCAGTTCTGACCAAAATATCCCGGTGGATATTTTGCTCTGTGGGCATTCTGCGTTTCGGAAACGTGCGACGGGATTCGATTTGGGACTTTGCCTCCCTTCCCAGGTACCACGTCTACAACGTCGATGAGAAAAACCCCGGCTTTTCAGAATCCAGGGCGATCTTCTATACGGCTCAGATCATTTGCGGCCTCGAACACCTCCATCAAAACCGCATCATCTACCGTGACCTCAAGCCAGAGAATGTCCTTTTGGATGATGCAGGTAATGGAAGTAACACACTGAAAGATCCAGGACTGGTAAAAGGGAGGAATTTTCCATGTCTGGTTAAACTGCGGAACTCCCCGCCACAGGAGTGGCCTCCAACCCGATGGCTTCCAACATTCCCAAATAAGTGTAACTTTTCATTTCCGTTTCCAAATCCTGTCAATCGGTTCCTTATGATGGCTTCTTATTTCTCTCGCCCTCCCCCCCCCCCCGATTCAGGACATGTGCGGCTGTCAGATTTGGGCCTGGCGGTGGAACTGGCAGAAGGGAAAGACAAGACCAAGGGCTACGCGGGCACACCAGGTGGGCACACCGTTATTCAGGGTCCTCCTCTTCAGCTGCAGTTCCTGCGATTTAGCTGCGACTCCTGCTTCACAGCGGGTTGGGCTAGATGACCGCTGGGGGGTCCCAGCTCTGCAGTTCTGTGATTCTGCGGTTCTTCCTCTCTCCTTTCCCTGCAGGGTTTATGGCCCCGGAACTCCTTAAGGGAGAGGAATACGACTCGAGCGTGGATTACTTTACGCTGGGAGTAACCCTCTATGAGATGGTCGCCGCGAAAGGACCTTTCCGCAGCCGCGGGGAAAAAGTACGGCATTTATTTTATTTTATGCCATCAGATTTATACACTCCTTTTCTTCCTAATGTCTCAACAAATGAAACTGATTTGTAAAAATGTTACATGGGAAAAAATACAAGAGACATTACACATACTTCTGTAAAACAAGAAAATCTTTAATAAAAAAAAATTAAAAATAAAAATAAAAACTGTGGAAAACAGAAAATCAAATATGGCAATTGCCATATTTCAAGAAGTAAAAATCCGCACACTAAAGTTATTGAGCTTTTCTTGGGAAATGGCCCAAAAAGTTGTTGAGCTCAAAAGTTAGAATTCGCGCAAAAAAAGGCAGCGAATGATACTCAAACACACGCTTCCTGGTTCTGTTGGCAAAAACCCAGACATTTTGCTGATTTCCCAAAAATTCCCCAGGATGCTAATTTCGACATTTGAATCCCGGGCAAGTACAGGAAATTCTGGATGTATAGCAACCCATTTACACAGAAGATACAACAATAGCAAGACTGGTAGACGATAATTTAAGACTTTTGAAAAGTTGAACTAACGCTAAAAGCAGATCTTATTTTATTGATTGCTTATTATACCTTGTTCTCCTCCGAGGAGTTGGAGAGAAAAAGTTTGGGTGCTTAGATTATTGCTATTAGCCAATAGCATCTTTGCCCCCCCATTTTTCTTAATGTTGTAATGTATATAAAACGGAGCTAACAATCGTAACAGATGAAAAACGAAACTATAAAACAAGCACGAAGAACGAGTTCAGTCGCACGTGGGTTGAAATAGCAAAGTCCAAGTACAGATTATCAGATTATTATTCTAGTTATCAAGTCTAGTTCCAGATTCCCCAGGCTTGTATTGAAAATGATCCTCTTGTATATGTGATAAGGGAATGCCAAACCATCTTTAAATTGTCTGCAGCCGTTGTCGAAATCTCAAAACGTGCATAGTTTCCCCCCCATTGTTGCTCTATTCCAGAGTGAGGGGCACCAAACGCCCGCTGTAATATTTTGGTCTGTTTTCGTTGAGCCACAATTACTATTTGAGCTGCCGAGATCATATATGCATGATCAATTCTTTTGACAACATACCTACGTCGGTGTCATCAAAAATATTTGGCAGCATCGATTTTGGATGACAGACAATAGCTCCTTTTAGTAACGTTTAGCGTCAAAGCTAAATTCCAGAAATCTTGCACCAACTTGCATTCCCACCATAAATGAGAAGCGGTGCCAAGTTTATCGCAAAGCTCAGTTGGTAGAGATTGAGACTCTTAATCTCACGGTCCTGGGTTCGAATCCCACATGGGGCAAAAGATTATTGGGGGTTGGACCAGATCACTCGCAAGTTCCTTTCCAACTTTCCAATTCTATGATTCTATGAATTACTAAGTAATAAAGAAGAAAAGATTTTGGACGTGTACAAAGAGTGTGATAATCATTGGGACCTTAACAGTGCTTTTTTTCTATATATATAAAATGTTTAGGGGTACTCTCATTTTTCTACTCATATTGAATTAGGGACATGAGTGGCGCTGTGGTCTAAACCACTGAGCCTCTTGGGCTTGGCGATCGGAAGGTCGGCGGTTCAAATCCCCACGACGAGGTGAGCTCCCGTTGCTCGGTCCCTGCTCCTGCCAACCTAGCAGTTCAAAAGCACACCAGTGCAAGTAGATCAATAGGTACCGCTCCGGCGGGAAGGTAAACGGCATTTCCGTGCACTCTGGTTTCCGTCACAGTGTCCCGTTGCACCAGAAGCGGTTTAGTCAAATAAACTGGAAAGCTGTCTGTGGACAAACGCCGGCTCCCTCGGCCTGAAAGCAAGATGAGCGCCGCAACCCCATAGTCGCCTTTGACTGGACTTAACCGTCCAGGGGTCCTTTACCGTTACCATATTGAAATACTGCCCCTCAACATTAAGAAAGTTGACCAAAGATTATTCATGTATGCTACGACTGCTGCCATAATTTTGATAGCCCAAAAATGGAAAACGCAGGAATTACTAACCAGATGAAGATGGTTGAATATGCGGAATTAGCAAAACTGACTCACAGGATCCGCAATCAGGAGGAAACAAAGTTCCAAAAAGAGTGGAGTAAATTTATGGACTATATAAGTGAGAACTGTAGAAATTTGAAGACGTTAGGTAAAGGTAAAGGGACCCCTGACCATTAGGTCCAGTCATGACCGACTCTGGGGTTGCGGCGCTCATCTCGCTTTATTGGCCAAGGGAGCCGGCGTACAGCTTCCGGGTCATGTGGCCAGCAGGACTAAGCCGCTTCTGGCGAACCAGAGCAGCGCACGGAAATGCCGTTTACCTTCCCGCCGGAGCGGTACCTATTTATCTACCTGCACTTTGAGGTGCTTTCGAACAGCTAGGTTGGCAGGAGCTGGGACCGAGCAACGGGAGCTCACCCCGTCGCAGGGATTCGAATCACCGACCTTCTGATTGGCAAGTCCTAGGCTCTGTGGTTTAACCCACAGCGCCACCCGCGTTGAAGACGTTAGCAGGGCTGAAATAAATCTTATGTCATGGTCTAGATATCACTAAGGAATTGTGGATCAGAGATCGGAATAAGAAAACCTGCGAAAGGGAGGGAGGGAAGTCAGTGCTCTGTAGAGCGAAAAGAAAGGTAGATGTAAAAGGATATGAAATATTAGTGTATTTTGTTTGTGCATATAAAATGAAAACTTAATAAAAAGCATTTTAAAAAAAATGCTGCCCCTCAATGAGGCCAAACTTAGATTCACAATATGTTTAGGGGTATGTGTACCCCCAGGAAAAAAAGCACTGGACCTTAATATTCCCAATGGGTACGAATATTATGGTACTTATTATTAACAAAAAACGAGACCGTGTGTTTGTTTTATATCTCACATAAAGATTTTCCGCCTTTCTGCATGCGATGGGGCAGCAGAAAAAGCTTTTTAGAACAAGGTCCAGCACCTTTCTCCCTCCTGCCACAGGTAGAGAACAAGGAAGTGACGCGTCGCATCCTGAACGATCCTGTCACGTACCCGGATAAGTTCAGCGCCGAGTGCAAGGCCTGCTGCGAGGGGCTGATGATGAAAGACCCGGCCGCTCGCCTGGGGTTCAAGGACAACGAATGTGCAGAGTTGAAGAAGCACCCCGTTTTCCAGAAGATAAACTGGGGCCGCCTCGAGGCAGGTAAGGACCTCCAGGCCAGGCGGTTGCGGTGGGGTTAAGTGGGATCACCCGACTTCTGAGCCATTACGCTAGCCATAGCTGTCAACTGTCCCTTATTTGGCGGGAAAGTCCCTTATCCCAGCGCCTTGTCCCCCTGCATCCCTTTTTGATGATGTCCCTTAAATTTCCCAGGTTTCAAAGGAAGCAGCTCCTCTCCCTCCCTCCCTGCTGGCCAGGGAGGAGGGAGGCTCCAACTGTGTTGCTTGGCTGCGTTGCTCACCCAATAAGGAGTCTGAGAACGACTGGGGGGTGGAGCTTGCATGCCTTGTGCCAATCAAATCAGCCGCATTGCCTGGGGACTCGCCTTTGCTCAGCGCTTCCCAGCGGAGATGTGACGGTGGTTTTCCTTGCTGCATCCCCTTTGCCGGGTTGCTGCGCTGTGGGAACCACCGCTTGAGGCTTCGTTTGGCTGCTGGCTGGGCTTTCTGCCTTTGGCTCAGAAGCTGAACATACCTGTGCCCTGAAAATCCCTTATTTTGGCTGCTGATCCCTTATTTTCGAGGCTGCTGGTCCCTTGTTTTCAAATCTGTAAGTTGACAGCTATGACGCTAGCCCAGGATTGATGGGAGCTGTGGTCCAAAATGTCTCAGAGGGCACAAGGTTTAAAACTTCCGGGAGTTAAAAGTGCAATAGGCTTAGATTAGAACTCGCACCAGCTTTCTAAGTGCTGTAAACAAAATCTGACCTTATTCCCTTATGGGGGACACATAGAGTCCTTTGCAGGTTCTCCATCGGTTGGAGAAAACAACAGAGGCCAACCAGAGAATATTGAAAAGCAAAGCAGCTCGTAAGCCTGATCTTTATTGATCTGTTGCAACAGGGTGATCCCCTCACACGCAGGAAAGGAGGAGGACCCAGAAAAATGGCGCGCAAGGCCTTATAAAGACTTTTGAAATTGCCACCCTGTAGATCAAGACCAGGGACACGGGTGGCACTGTAGGTTAAACCACAGAGTCTAGGACTTGCCGATCAGAAGGTTGGCGGTTTGAATTCCCCGCGACGGGTGAGCTCCTGTTGCTCAGTCCCTGCTCCTGCCAACCTAGCAGTTCGAAATCACGTCAAAGTGCAAGTAGATAAATAGGTACCGCTCCGGCAGGAAGGTAAATGGCATTTCCATGCGCTGCTCTGGTTCGCCAGAAGCGGCTTAGTCATGCTGGCCACATGACCCAGAAGCTGTACGCCGGCTCCCTCGGCCAGTAAAGCGAGATGAGCGCCGCAACCCCAGAGTCGGCCACCACTGGACCTAGTGGTCAGGGGTCCCTTTACCTTTAGATCAAGACCACCCACCAGATACATGATACCTACATCACAGAAAAGGTGGTCTAAAACAGAAATGTGAATGTTGTTTTCCAGTTGTTTTTCCTGTTATCTGATTGCCTTTCCTGATAGTCTGTCACCCATTAAAATGCTGATTAGTTAATTCCTGAGACAATGGGAAGGCTCCCTGACCCCCTTCCCTCCTTGCAGGGAAAATATTTGGTCAATTTGGGAATTAAAATGGTTTCTGGTCGGTCTTCCTGTGCTGAACCATGTACGGTGGTACCTCGGGTTACATACGCTTCAGGTTACAGACTCCGCTAACCCAGAAATAGTGCTTCAGGTTAAGAACTTTGCTTCAGGATAAGAACAGAAATCGTGCTCTGGCGGCACGGCGGCAGCGGGAGGCCCCATTAGCTAAAGTGGTGCTTCAGGTTAAGAACAGTTCCAGGTTAAGAACGGACCTCCGGAACGAATTAAGTACTTAACCCGAGGTACCACTGTACGTTCTTGGTTGGTACACCTATGAACATTACCATATATCTGAGCCCTCCAAATTCCTATCGCACTCCCTTCCCCCTTCCGCTTCAGGACTGGTGGAGCCCCCCTTCGTGCCGGACCCCAAGGTGGTCTACGCCAAAGACATTGGCGAGGTGGGCGCTTTCTCCACGGTGAAGGGCGTCGTGCTTGACGAGACGGACAAAGCCTTCTACGACGACTTCTCCACGGGCAACATCCCCATCCCCTGGCAGGAGGAGATGGTCGAGACGGGCGTCTTCGGAGAGCTCAACGTCTCTTGGGCCAAGGGCACCACCCCCAGGGATCTGGACCGCAACGCACCTCCAACAAGCACCTCCAGCAAATCGGGGACCTGCCTGCTGCTCTGAAGAGAGGCGGGGAGGTGTGTCTCTGGACACCAGGACTCCGGCCACTGCGGCGGCCATTGCCGGACTCGCAACAGGGACCAGCTTCCGGCTGGCGGGCGATGCCCACTAGGCTGCGCTGCCCTTCCAGAGCTGGGTGGCAGTGGAAAGAAGCTGGGCACTGTAAGCCACCGGGGCCCTCGCTTTCTCTACCAGAGACAGGACTCTGCTTCACTACGTGGCGGGGGCAATGGGGGACTCGAACTGGGTTCTGGCCGGCCTGCTCTGACCACTAGGCTCTGCAACCCTCCTAGGGCACCCGGGAGGCCCTCCCTTATTTTAATTAAATTTTCAGTCTGCAAGGAGGTTCACACACACACACACACACACACACACACACACACACACACCACACTGGAGACTCCTGGCTTTTGATAGGAAGCGACAGCTATTGGTTAGACGGACAAGGGACGGGGGCTTGCGGTGGGGGCACATCAAATACATTCAAGGCATCTGGTGTGGGGGGGGCAGTTCCTCCTCCCTGTTTCACGCTGGAGCACTTTACTTGGGGGTGTGTGTGTGAATAATTATGGTGCTGAACGAACGGAATAATTGATCCCATCACCGGCATTTATCCTCGGTCGTTTAACAACTTCTCTCACCTATATCCCCCTTGAGAGTTAGAGGTTATGGAGAAGGGGTGGTATCTGGGAGGGGTCTGGGACCCCCAAAACGGGGGCAGTTTGGGGGTTTCAGTCCGGTGGGGGTGCAAGGTAACTCTTTGTTGTGAAGCCGCAGTTTGCACCCGACGACAATAAACAGGGTTTGCTGTGTAGCTGAAGAACGCTGCGGGCTTCTTTGCGTGGGCACCGCAACGGGTGAAGGATCGTCGAGTCGGAAGGGGTCCTCCAGCGGCCATCTAGCCCAACCCCCTGAAATGCAGGGATTTCAGCTAAAGCATCCCTGACAGTGGGCCATCCAACCTCTGCTTATAAACTTCCAAGGAAGGAGAACCTGCCACTTAACGAGGGAGCCAAACAGAAAGTTCTTCCCGATGGCTAGCCAGAATCTCCTTATAATATGTATCCACTGGATCGGGTCCTGCCAGTGGAGGTCATAGGACCACTTCCCCCCCCCCCAAAGGGTGCTTAATTCGTCTTTTTGCCCCCTTTAGCACCAGCAGAGTCTCTCCCCCCCTCAATGCAACGCAGTAGCAGCTTCCGAGGGTATTTTTCACTCTCTCCGAACCGCAGCAGGAAAGGGTTAAATCTGCCCCGCCAAAAAACTCTTTTAGTAATAGCGGGTGCCATTCGCATTCTAGAAAATCTAAAGCATCCAGTCACGGAATCATCAAAGAGTTGGTTCATTTACTCCAAGGGAAAGAAGTGTTTAATATCCCTCCCAGGCTGGCCTAAAAACGGGGGAATTGAAGAGAGACCCCCTTTTCTAAATCTTCGGGGGACATGCCTGCAGTCAGTGTTGACAGTACTGAGCGATGTCGACCGACGGTCTGATCCGAAACGGTGGCTTTCTATGCAACAGGCAGGGAACTGGGACCGAGTGCTGAGCTCACGATCCTGGCAAGCCTAGCTCTCTTGCTCAGTGGCGTAGCAAGGTTAGGTGGTACCCGGGGCAGAAAATTTCTTGCCCTGTCCTCCACACATTGAAATCTAGTTGGACTCCCAAGAGACTGTGATCTAAAAGGTAAAGGTAAAGGTAAAGGGAACCCTGACTGTTAGGTCCAGTCGTGGCCGACTCTGGGGTTGCGGCGCTCATCTCGCTTTATTGGCCGAGGGAGCCGGCGTACAGCTTCCGGGTCATGTGGCCAGCAGGACTAAGCCGCTTCTGGCGAACCAGAGCAGCGCACGGAAACGCCGTTTACCTTCCCACCGGAGTGGTACCTATTTATCTACTTGCACTTGACGTGCTTTCGAACTGCTAGGTTGGCAGGAGCTGGGACCGAGCAACGGGAGCTCACCCCGTCGCGGGGATTCGAACCGCCGACCTTCTGATGGGCAAGTCCTAGGCTCTATGGTTTAACCCACAGCGCCACCCGCGTCCCGAGACTGCGATCTACTCACAGTAAAAAAAGACTGGCTGTGATCTACATCATCATCGTCATCGTCATCATCATCATCATATATTTTTTTATTTATACCCTGCCCTTCCTGGTTCAGCCACTCCAGGGTTTACTTCTGAGCAAACAGACAACCTGATTGTGCTGCCTAGCTCAGGCACCCCCAGATTCGGCCCTCCAGCTGTTCTGGGACTACAATTCCCATCATCCCTGACCACTGGTCCTGTTAGCTAGGGATGATGGGAGTTGTAGTCCCAAAACAGATGGAGGGCCGAGTTTGGGGGTGCCTGGCCTAGCTGCAACCCTACATGTCCCATTGAGAACAGCGGGGCTTACTCCTGAGTAAATAGGGGGGATGATCTCCAGCGGCCCTTTACTTCCTTTTTTATAAAGTCACTCACCGCGAGGTGTTTGGCTGTCTTGGGTAAGCTAAGTTCAGTCAAAACCAGGAGAATTTTTGACTTGCCAGGGGCAAGTTCCCACACCCAGAAGGGACTGGGGGGAGATTCAGTTCAGTTTGTATTTAAAGCAGAACCTAGCTACTCCAAAAACGCTATGCAAACAGAAACACATCCATCCTTTGAAATTTGTATTTCTCTTTTTGAGTTTCCAATGCAGCTGTCTCCGGCCAAGAAATGTGTACAGGAGAAATAATGCGTACGTACTGTACTAAGCTAAAGTGTGCATATAAATGCATATACATAAATGTGTGTGTATATATGTGTGTGTGTGTATATATATATATATATATATATCTATACTGTATATATAAAACATATCCCCCAAAATTGCACTAAATTAGGGAAAATCGCTTTGCAAAAATGTCTATATCAAGCAAAACAGCATTAAAAAAATGCGTACATGAAAATAAATTTGCACCAAGATGCTGATGAACTTTCACAAGGATTTCTTTTCTGTTTAAAAATGGCAGACTGCCGTAAAAATGGGAAGCACCACGCTTAGGACTGGAAAAACAGCAACATGAAAGTAAAGGAAGCTGAGACTGCCAGATTCAATCGCCGCCCTGTCCCTACACACAACACACACGCAAAACCTCGCACAACCGCCCGCAATCACAACCGAAATCTGGTCAGGCCATTCCCAGCCACTCAGCAATTGCACAACAACGCATCGGACTGAGGCCTTGTCTGCACTGCGCATTTAAAGCAGAATCACGCCGTTTTAAACAGTGTGTCGTCGTCCCCCAAAGGATCCTGGGAGCTATAGTTTGTTAAGGGTGCTGAGAGTCCTTAGGAAACTCCTCTGGGATGCCAGGAAACAGGGAATCATGTTCACATGTGTAAATACAATTTTTTGGCAAAGGGTGTTTAAAGAGATAACAGAAATCACTGGCTTAAAGCTGACCAAAAGTCCAGAGGTTGCATTATTATCAATTTATGATGGGGCGGACAGTTCGCAGGCTACGAAGGACTTGTTCACAAATTTATTGACAGCTGCACGAATTATGATAGCTAGGAAGCGGAAGGGCCAAGGGAATATAAAATGGAAGAATGCTATAAAGAGGTGTGGGATATAGCTATTTATGATAAATTAACATCTGCCCTTCCTAAGACAGGGAATACACAGGAGAAATGATTTTGAGGCGATAGGGAAGGTGTTAATAGAATTTGTCAAAACGGAAAGGGGTCAAACCATTGCTGGAGGTGTCGAAATTTTGGGAGGTTGGATGGTTATAATGGAAAGGCCTCGGGGGCGTGGGGTGCACATTTTTATCCTTATTTATTTGTGATGATTACTTTGTCTTATTTATTTGTGATGATTACTTTGTAAAAATAAAAAATTTTAAAAAGGGAAAAAAAGAGGAGAGTCCTCTGTTCATGGAGGAACCATCCGCAGAGTAGTTTAACCACCAGCTATGGGAATTGTATGTCGCTGAGGGGTATAGGGTCTCCTTGGAATCACAGAGTCGTAGAGTCGGAAGGGACCCCTGAAGGTCATCCAAACCAACCCCCTGCAATGCAGGATTCCCAGCTAAAGCACCATGACAGACGGCCTTACAACCCTCATGGAGGAGAGAGCTGTCAGAGGCTCCTTGCCGCAATGGCTATGCACTGCCCCCACAGCTGGGATAGCGACTCTTGCACTTGGATCCTGCTCATGGGCGCGGCCGCCGTGAAAACGGGAAGCTGGGCTGGACAGGTCGCACCAGCATCCTGTCTCTCCTGTTTTCAGCGCCCCTGGCAAACTACATTTCCCAGGATCCCTTGGGGGAGAAGCCATGCCTGTTGAGAGCGTTAAATGTGCAAAGGGGGCCTTAGTGAGCCCGGGGGCGGGGGCAGGAGACGGGGGGTGCTTTTGCTTGGGAGAAGGAGGGCGGCTCCGCGGGAAAAGATGCACCGACGTACTCCCTACTCCTCTTGGTCCGCCTTGGCCTGCCCTACGTCGGCTCCGGGGCAGCTGTGGGGCCAGATAGAGTTGCTTCTGGATTGCACCTCGTCAAAGTCCAGCTCGTGGCCTTGAACCCGGATCCCACGCAGGCAGCCACGGAAGAAACTCCTCTCCTGGGCTGCCGGGAATTTTTCCTGTCCTGCAATGAAACAGAAGTGGAACGGAATGGGTGGGTATCACAATGGAGGAAAGATGATTTATATGCACTTATAGGCAATGGCCTAAAGGGACCCCTGACCATCAGGTCCCGTCATGACCGACTCTGGGGTTGCGGTGCTCATCTCACTTTATTGGCCGAGGGAGCCGGCGTTTGTCCGCAGACAGTTTATCCGGGTCACGTGGCCAGCATGACTAAGCCGCTTCTGGCGAACCAGAGCAGCACACAGAAACACTGTTTACCTTCCCGCTGGAGCGGTACCTATTTATCTACTTGCACTGGTGTGCTTTCGAACTGCTAGGTGGGCAGGAGCTGGGACCGAGCAACGGGAGCTCAGCCCGTCATGGAGATTCGAACCGCCTACCTTCTGATTGGCACATCTTAGGCTCTGTGGTTTAACCCACCGTGCCACCCGCCTAGACAGCATCTTAAAAAGCAGAGACATCACCTTGCCAATAAAGGTCCGTATAGTTAAAGCTCTGGTTTTCCCAGTAGTGATGTATGGAAGTGAGAGCTGGACCATAAAGAAGGCTGATCGCCAAAGAATGGATGCTTTTGAATTCTGGTGCTGGAGGAGACTCTTGAGAGTCCTATGGACTGCGAGAAGATCAAACCTCTCCATTCTGAAGGAAATCAGCCCTGAGTGCTCACTGGAAGGACAGATCCTGAAGCTGAGGCTCCAAGACTTTGGCCACCTCATGAGAAGAGAAGACTCCCTGGAAAAGACCCTGATGTTGGGAAAGATGGAGGGCACAGGGAGAAGGGGACGACGGAGGACAAGATGGTGGGACAGTGTTCTCGAAGCTACCAGCATGAGTCTGACCAAACTGCGGGAGGCGGTGGAAGACAGGAGTGCCTGGCGTGCTCTGGTCCAGGGGGTCACAAAGAGGCGGACACTACTAAACGGCTAAACAACAACAACAAAACCTCTCTAGGAAGATGGTAAGGGGTGCAGCCTGGGGGAAGGTTCAGAGGGCCAGGTGGAGAGGTCTGGGGGCCACATCCTGGAGCTGAGATTCCCCACCCTTTGCAGGGGGGGCACACACAATTCTTATGGGGACACGTACCAGGCAGCCCCCCGACGACGAAATCCCCCTTTTTCCCCAGCCAGACGTGCTTCAGGCTTTCGAAATCCAGTTTCGGGGTGGGCTTTGAGGTCTCTGCGTCACCCAGGCGGAGCGTGGCGTGGGACGGGGTGATGCTCAGGAGTAGGGGGGCGTCCAGGCAGCCCCCCAGGGGGAAGGGCACCTGAAGGACCGTCTTGTTCCCCAGGTGAGCCGTCAGATCCTGGAGCATGAAATGGGGGGAGAGAGAAGGGCAGGAGGTTAGGAACCTGGCCAGCCAAGAGAGATCTCTGGAACTCACAGACACATGACAGGCAGGAAAAAAGGTGGGTGGTGGCGAAATCTGATGTTTCCCCAAAGGTGGGTGTTGGCTGGTGCCATGACCAGAGATGATGATGATATCAATAATAATAATAATAATAATAATAATAATGTGGTACCTCGGGTTAAGTACTTAATTCGTTCTGGAGGTCCGTTCTTAACCTGAAACTGTTCTTAACCTGAAGCACCACTTTAGCTAATGGGGCCTCCTGCTACTGCCACGCTGCCAGAGCACGATTTCTGTTCTCATTCTGAAGCAAAGTTCTTAACCCGAGGTACTATTTCTGGGTTAGCAGAGTCTGTAACCTGAAGCGTATGTAACCCGAGGTACCACTGTAATAATAATTTATTATTTATATCCCATCTGGCTGAGTTTTTCCAGCCACTCTGGGCGGCTTCCAACAAAATATTAAAATACAATAGTCCTTGAGATATTAAAAGCTTCCCTTAACAGGGCTGCCTTCAGATGTCTCCTAAAAGTCTGGTAGTTGTTTTTTCCTTTGACATCTGGTGGGAGGGTGTTCCACAGGGCGGGCGCCACCACCGAGAAGGCCCTGTGCCTGGTTCCCTGTAACCTCACTTCTCGCAGGGAGGGAACCGCCAGAAGGCCCTCGGAGCTGGACCTCAGTGTCTGGCTGAGCGATGGGGATGGAGACGCTCCTTCAGGTATACCAAATTCCCCTCCAACCCACGTTTGCAGGAGGGTAGGCTGTCCCGTCCATCTTTGGCCAGATGCTTGGTGCGGTCAGACCGGAGCGATTGGTCGACAGGCAACCTGGGGTCTTCCATCCATTTTGAACTACAACTCCCATCATTCCAGCACACCTGTGTTGCAAGGGCTGATGGGAGAATGGCCACGCTGGCCAGGGACCAGAGCGGTTTAATCACCCATCCCTCTTCCCATGGAACTCTGGGAAATGTAGCTCTAACAACTCCCAGCACCCTGAAGAAACTACAACTCCCAGAATTCTTTGGGGGGGGAGAGAAGGAAGCCATGACAGTTCACCCTGCATCAAAACTCTTTGTTGAACATGCGGTTCACATGTGCCCAATGTTTTTTGCATTTTGTACACCCCTGTTTCCATTATTTCAGGTTCTCTGGCGTCCTGGTGGGGCTGTTTTGGGGGGCACGCCACTTCCGTCCCCACCTTCCCCGGGGGTCTACGTGTTGCAGCCCTCACCGTGCGATGCAGGCTTAAGCGCAGGGGGAAAGCGGAGGTAGCCAGCAGGGGCGCTGACTGCGGGGCGGCCCCGATCCACATCTCCACAGTCAGGGACCAGCTCCGGTTGGCAGAGATGACTCCAGTAGGGAGGCCTGGAGGGGGAGAGTTGCGGGGGGGGGAGAGAGAGAGAGAATAGGGGGGGTTATAAGCTTATTGAGAGTTACACAGTCCTCATTGTATCATAACTGAGAGGAGAGAGAACGACTGGAACAACACCAAAAAAAATTGGGAAGAAAAAATATGGAGAAATAATTATTGCACGCAGGAAGCTCCTGCAGCCAATCAGAAGCCCTGTCAGGCGTCCGGGTTCCAAAGAACGTTCGCAAACCGGAACACTCACTTCCGGGTTTGTGGCGTTCAGGAGCGTTTGAGTCGCGAGGCGTTCGCGAACCAAGGTATACTCATAGGAACACCCTGAACTCTGGCAGCAGATCTCTGATTGATAGTTGATAGTATAAAGACTAAGGCTGGGCTGGATGAATCCCTAGCCGGAATTAAGATTGCCGGAAGAAATATCAACAACCTCAGATATGCAGATGACACAACATTGATGGCAGAAAGTGAGGAGGAATTAAAGAACCTTTTAATGAGGGTGAAAGAGGAGAGCGCAAAATATGGTCTGAAGCTCAACACCAAAAAAAACGGAGATCATGGCCACTGGGCCCATCACCTCCTGGCAAATAGAAGGGGAAGAAATGGAGGCAGTGAGAGATTTTACTTCCTTGGGCTCCATGATCACTGCAGATGGTGACAGCAGCCACGAAATTAAAAGACGCCTGCTTCTTGGGAGAAAAGCAATGACAAACCTAGACAGCATCTTAAAAAGCAGAGACATCACCTTGCCAACAAAGGTCCGTATAGTTAAAGCTATGGTTTTCCCAGTAGTGAGAGCTGGACCATAAAGAAGGCTGATCGCCCAAGAATAGATGCTTTTGAATTCTGGTGCTGGAGGAGACTCTTGAGAGTCCCATGGACTGCAAGAAGATCAAACCTCTCCATTCTGAAGGAAATCAGCCCTGAGTGCTCACTGGAAGGACAGATCCTGAAGCTGAGGCTCCAAGACTTTGGCCACCTCATGAGAAGAGAAGACTCCCTGGAAAAGACCCTGATGTTGGGAAAGATGGAGGGCACAAGGAGAAGGGGAGGACGGAGGACGAGATGGTGGGACAGTGTTCTCGAAGCTACCAGCATGAGTTTGACCAAACTGTGAGTGGCAGTGGAAGACAGGAGGGCCTGGCGTGCTCTGGTCCAGGGGGTCATGAAGAGGCGGACACGACTAAACGATTAAACAACAACAAAGTTGTGCTGGGTGTACCACTAAGGTTCATAAGTCTAATTGCCCATAATTCAGGAACCGGGCCGCAGTTTCCCTCACTCACAGCAGCTTCCAGATCGACCGCGAGGGAAGCCCCACAGTGAGGGCATTGCGGCAGTCTGGCCTTAAGGCAACCAGTTTCAGGATTGCATCACAATGGAAGGTCTGTGGCTTTTGCTTTTCAGCTCAAAGGAACAGAGATCTAGGCTTGGGTTGCAGAATTGGGGGAGCGAGACATTCGTGGGGTCCTGCCCGGCTGGTACCTGATAGGGAGAAGGTGGCCAGTCCATTCCCTGGGAAGAAACTCCCCCTGCGGATGGTGGGGAAGCAGACCTTGGTGTCTTTGTCCTCCAGGGACGTCCCTTCCAGCCACTCAGTGCTTTTGTTCAGCCAATTCCATCGCCTCATGCAGCCGTCCATGGCTGGGTTGAGCTGGAAGGGAAAGAGAGCGAAGAGGGTGAAGAGCAGGGAGAGGAAAACCAAAATTCGACAGGGACAAATGCAAGGTTCTGCACTTAGGGAGGAAAAACTAGGGGTGGAGATATAGGGTGTGAGCCCCTGTTGTAAACAAAATCTGTTCTTTTTCCCTTATGGGGTATCCAAGAGCCCATATAGAGTCCTTACATAGGTTCCCTATTGGTAGGAGAGAATAACAGAGGCCAACCAGAGAATATTGAGAAGCAAAGCAGCTAGTAAGCTTGATCTTTATTGATCTGTTGCAACAGGGTGCTCCCCTCACACGCAGGAAAAGAGGAGGACCCAGAAAAATGGCGTGCAAGGCCTTATAAAGACTTTGGAAATTCCCATCCTGTAGATCAGGACCACCCCCAGAAACATCATAGCTACATCACATAAGGGGTGTAACCTAAGACCACCCCTCAGATACATCACACCTACATCACAAAAAAGGCGGAACATTTTAATATTGTTTTTCTCCCGTTGTTGTTTATCTCCTGTCTGGTAGGATACTTGATTGGATTTCCTGGGGAGCCTGGCCAGTCTTTTGTAATGATAAATACTTAGTTCCTGGGCCAGGTCACAGGCTCACACCCTATTCAAACAGAGACATACCCTTAAGACAGGATTTGTGAAGGAAAAGACAATGGGGAGGCTTTTCCACTTTGACCTTGCAGAGAAAACATTTGCTCAGTTTAGGAATCAAAATGGTTCCAGGTTAGCCTTCTTGTGCTGATCTATGTACATGCTTGGTTGGTACACTTATGAACATTACCATATATCTAAGACCATAAAATTCCTATCACACCCCCCAACTCGACAGCAGCGCATGTGGAAAGGGATATAGGGGTCCCAGGGGAGCGTGAGACAGTGGTGTGGTGCTACGCGCAGTGGTTCTCAACCTGTGGGTCCCCAGATGTTGTTGGACTACAACTCCCATCATCCCTAGCTAGCGATGCCGGAGCTCAGGGATGATGGGAGTTGTAGTCCAACAACATCTGGGGACTTACAGGTTGAGAACAGCTGTGCTACGGAATAAAGAGCTATTCTAGGCTGCATCAACAGAAGCCTTGTATCCAGGTCATGGGTAGGCAAACTAAGGCCCGGGACTACAGTTCCCATCATCCCTGTCCACTGGTCCTGCTAGCTAGGGATCATGGGAGCTGTAGGCCAAAAACATCTGGAGGGCCGAGGTTGAGGAAGCCAGATCTAACCCATGGGAAGGCAAACTGAGGCCCGGGGGGGCAGATCCAGCCCAATCACCTTCTTAATCCGGCCTGCGGACGGTCCAGGAATTAGTGTGTTTTTACATGAGTAGAATGTGTGCTTTTATTTAAAATGCATCTCTGGGTTATTTGTGGGGCATAGGAATTTGTTCATTTATTTATTTTTTCAAAATATAGTCCGGCCCCCACAAGGTCTGAGGGACAGTGGACCGGCCCCCTGCTGAAAAAGTTTGCTGACTCCTGACTCCAAGTCAAGGGAAGTCATAATATTCTTCTACTCTGCCTTCGTCAGACCCCACATGGAATCCTGTGTCCAGTTCTGGGAGCCACAATTTAAGAAGGATGTTGACAAGCTGGAAGATGTGCAGAGAAGGTTGACCAAGATGACCAGGGGTCTGGAAACCACGCCTGATGAGGAGCGGTCGAAGGAGCTGGGTATGTTTTGATTAGAGGAGACCAGGAGGAGATATGAGGGCCATCTTCCAGTATCTGAAGGTGTATCACACGGAAGATGGAGAAAGCTTGCTTTCTCCTGCTCCAGAGGGTAGGACTCGAACCCATGGCCTCAAGTTTCAAGAAAGGAGATTCCGACTAAATATTAGGAAGAACTTTCTGACAGCAAGAGCTGTTCAACAGGGGAACAGACTCCCTTGGAAAGTGGTGGACTCTCCTTCCTTGAAGATTTTTAAGCAGATGTCGTTGAGATTCCTGCATTGTACGGGGTTGGACGAGATGACCGTGGGGCACATTGCAAATTGCAATTCATTTCAAAATAAGCCCCCCTCTTCTGAGTGTGGGTTTTCTAGACCGATTTGCACTCCTAGTTTCATGTACCGTATTTTTCACTCCATAAGACGCACCTGACCATAAGATGCACCTAGTTTTTAGAGGAGGAAAACACTGGGTGTATGATTTTTGTGGTTCATGCTGTGGCCACAGACATGTGATCTGATGGTGAATTTGGGGTGACCAATGCAAAAACCCTGAGGATCCATGGGCTTTTACCTCCCCGCTCCCAGGCAGCCTCCTCTAGCCTCCCTTATTTCTCTTGCGATCCCACCGATCAGCTGTTTCCTTTCAACACTCCCTTCCCTCTTGTTTGCCTTAGTGTCATTTCCTTAACTGGAGCAGTTTTTTGCTCCTCCTTTCTTCTAATTTCTCTTCTTATTGCTTTAGTTTTCCTGTTTCCCCCCTTTGCAAGTTTGCTGTCTTTACCTCCCCCTCCCAGGCAGCCTCCTTTATCTCTAGCGCCCCTTATCTCTCTCCCCAATTGGGCGAACGATCAGCGGCTTTGTTTCAACACCCACTTTCCTCTTTCAAAAAAAAAAAGCATGATCTGCTTTTTGCACCTGGGCAATTCGGCTCCAGGGACCACGCATTCGCTCCATAAGACACACAGACATTTCCCCTTACATTTTAGGAAGAAAAAAGTGCATCTTATGGAGCAAAAAATACGGTAATCTATTTCCCCCACACACATATATTTGTGGGTCTGTTGTGATAGGCCATGGGTCAGCAACCTTTTTCAGCTGTGGGCTGGTCCACTGTCCCTCCGACCTTGTGGGGGCCAGACTATATTTTTTTTGGGGGGGGGGGAATGAATGAACCAATTCCTATGCCCCACAAATAACCCAGAGATGCATTTTAAATAAAAGGACACATTCTACTCATGTAAAAACACGCTGATTCCCGGACTGTCTGTGGGCTGGAATGAGAAGGCGATTGGGCCGGATCCGGCCCCCGGGCCTTAGGTTGCCTACCCCTGTGATAGACAGCTGTCTCTCGTACCCAGCTAAGTTGCCGGAGGAAACTGTGTTTTGGTTTGCACCGTAGAGATTAAGGGATGTTATTGCCGTTCAGATTTCTTCGCCTGAGGCTGCAGCTAATTCTGTTTCTGTGGAGGCAGCTGGGGCGACAGAAATTCAAACCTGACTTCTGCTGCTTCGATGGTACGTGAGGAGATTTGTTATGACGCTTTAGTACAATTATAACGTTTAACCGTACAACTGCTGCTAAGATTGTAAAAGCTAAAATTTGGGGAGCGGGGGTGCAGGGCGTATTTCCTGCTATATCTGAATGGATGGAGAAAATGTTGTCCATTTGATTAAGCTGATTTACAACGAAAGAATACATATAAACCAGCCTCACGGGATTATGAATCATCTAGGCCAGGGGTCAGCAACCTTTTTCAGCAGGGGGCCGGTCCACTGTACCTCAGACCTTGTGGGGGGCCGGACTATATTTTGAAAAAAAGTATGAATGAATTCCTATGCCCCACAAATAACCCAGAGATGCATTTTAGATAAAAGCACACATTCTACTCATGTAAAAACATGCTGATTCCTGGACCGTCCACGGGCTGAATTGAGAAGGTGATTGGGCCGGATCCGGCCCCCGGGCCTTAGTTTGCCTACCCCTGATCTAGCCCAACTCCCTACAATGCAGGAATCTTTTGCCCGACGTGGATCTCGAACCCACAACTCCAAAATGTTCCACTGGCTGAACTATGGAAAAAGGGGTATTTTTTGTACTGTTTTGGAAGAGCAAGTTCAACGATAACGTCCAACCTTGCGCTGAAACCATATTTCTCCATGTGATTTGTCTTGGGTTTATTTTGTTTAATAAAATAAATAAACATTAAACTGACAGGAATGGTGGGTTCTTGCACGCTGCCCTGGGATCTGTTTGGACGAAGAACGATATAGGATTCTTAGAAACCCTCCATCCATCCATCCATCCATCAAACAGGGGCTCTATCCATGTGAAGGACCAGGTGTGCAGCCTGGGAGTCATTTTGGACTCACCGCTGTCCATGGAGGCGAAGGTCAATTCTGTGTCCAGGGCGGCTGTCTACCAGCTCCATCTGGTACGCAGGATGAGACCCTCCCTGCCCGCAGACTGTCTTGCCAGAGTGGTGCATGCTCTGGTTATCTCTCGCTTGGACTACTGCAATGCGCTCTATGTGGGGCTACCTTTGAAGGTGACCCGGAAACTAAAACTAATTCAGAATGCGGCAGCTAGACTGGGGACTGGAAGCGGCCGCCAAGACCACATAACACCGGTCCTGGAAGACCTACATTGGCTCCTAGTACGTTTCCGAGCACAATTCAAAGTGTTGGTGCTGACCTTGAAAGCCCCAAACGGCCTCAAAGGCCCAGTAGACCTGAAGGAACGTCTCCACCCCCATCGTTCTGCCCGGACACTGAGCTCCCGCTCCGAGGGCCTTCTGGCGGTTCCCTCACTGCGAGAAGCAAAGCTACAGGGAACCAGGCAGAGGGCCTTCTTGGTGGTGGCGCCCACCCTGTGGAACTCCCTCCCACCAGATGTCAAAGAGAGAAACAACTACTATACTTTTAGAAGACATCTGAAGGCAGCCCTGTTTAGGGAAGCTTTTAATGTTTGAGGCATTACTGTATTTTAATATTGTGTCGGAAGCCGCCCTGAGTGGCTGGGGAAGCCCAGCCAGATGGGCGGGGTATAAATAATAAATTATTATTATTATTATTATTATTATTATTATTATTATTATTATCAGTGACCTGGTTTCTTTCTAACCTCCACCACCAGAGGGATCCAAGCTCACCAGCTGGGGGGGCAGGGGGCAGCCCCCCAATATTTTCAAGAGCAATTCCAGAGCAATGCTTGACACTGCAAGAGGACCAGTCTCCAGATATTGCAGCCCCAACAAACCGCTCTATGCTGCCGGAGACGGGGGTCCTGATGCAGAAACAGTGCCCTCTAGCGCCACCTACTGTTGGCTCCTCCAGCCATACCTGTGCCAAGGAGCTCCAGCCCCCACCTGCAGCCCCTTCTAGCGTACAAGGAGGGGGACAGGCTCTCTTACTGGGAGAAGGAGCTCCTCCGTGGGGATCAGCAAGCCCCCGACGCCAATGCGCAGGGCGAAGACAGGGGCCTCCACGATAGCTTCGGAGACGTGGTTGAGGGTCAGCTGGTCAACGCCGTCCACCGCCAGCAGGACCGTGTGCCCCTCGTTCTTCGCCATGATCTGTTGGGCAGAGCAGAGAGGCGTTAGGAACAGGAAAGGCTCAAAATGCCCCCTTCCTTGTCTCTCTACTCTGGCAGGAACAAGGGCGTCCATTCAGCGGTTGATATCATATAGGCGCATCGCTCTGCAAGCTCAGGAAGAGTGCTGGGGTTTTCTGTTTTCCTCCTCCCTCCACACTCCTTTCCCTCTAGTGTCGTGTCTTCCACACGGGAGGCTTAATACGACAAACAGCTCGCTGAGCTACAGCGAACGGGTTGTTGTTTTTTAACGTAGCAGGTTTCCCCCAGAAAAAGGGAGGTCTGAATTAAAGCACGGATGTACTGGAATGTCAGTTGTGACATGCAGACACTACGCAAAATTCACACATGGGCGTGAAAGGCAAAGATCCCACCTCAAAAACAGACAAAAAAAGCAGTTTGAGACTGTAAGATTGAGAGCAGGAAGTACTTTGCCTTACATTTGTAGACATCCCTTTCCCCCTGAAGAGCGGAACAAAAGCGCTCTGATTTTTATATGAACAATGCCCTTCAATGTGCTTTAGTGTTGCTCAATTAAGGCAAAGATCCCACCTCAAAAACAGACAAAAAACCGTGAAAGCAGCTTGAGATTGTAAGATTGAGAGCAGGGAGTGCTTTGCCACTGACATCTCTGGGAGCCCCCTTTCCCCCTGAAGAGCGGAACAAAAGCGCTCTGAATTTAAAATGAACAATGCCCTTCAATGCGCTTTAGTGTTGCTCAATTAACACAGAGGCTTTTTGAGCAGAAGCAAATAGCCAAGGGAGCTCCGTGCGAGAGCATCTGTTTATTGGGGTGCTTTCAAGGGGCCAAGCTGCCTTTTTCAGAGGCAGATCATTGTCTGCACACTGACTGCGGATTTCTGGGGTTTCAGGCAAGACCTCTCCCAGCCCTACTTGCAGTTGTCAGGAACTGAACCCGGGACCCAGATGCTCTCGCACGGAGCTCCAGCCGCCCCCCTTCCTTTAGATCAGAGGTTCCCAAAATGGGTGGCAGCCCCTGGAGGACTGTGGGCTTACCTAGGGGGCGCTAAGAGGCAATGGGACTGCAGCTGGCACCCCTGGATCGAGTTGATCCATTTTGCTGAATTAAACTCAACAGTTCTAAGTGGGTTTTGAACAAATGGGACGCGGGTGACGCTGTGGGTTAAACCACAGAGCCTAGGACTTGCTGATCAGAAGGTCGGCGGTTCGAATCCCCGCGACGGGGTGAGCTCCCGTTGCTCGGTCCCAGCTCCTGCCAACCTAGCAGTTCGAAAGCATGCCCAAAATGCAAGTACAGTGGTACCTCCGTTGTGAACAGGATCCGTTCCAGAGCCCCGTTCGCAACATGAGCAGAACACAACCCGTGTCTGCGCGGGTCGTGATTAGCCGCTTCCGTGCATGCGCATGACGCCATTTTGAGCATTTGCGCATGCGCAAGTGGCAAAACCCGGAAGTAACCCTTTCCAGTACTTCTGGGACGCCGTGGGACGCAACCTGAAAAGATTTAACCTGAAGCAAACGTAACAAGAGGTATGACTGTAGATAAATAAGTACCGCTCCGGCGGGAAGGTAAACGGCGTTTCCGTGCGCTGCTCTGGTTTGCCAGAAGCGGCTTAGTCATGCTGGCCACATGACCCGGAAGCTGTACGCCGGCTCCCTCGGCCAGTAAAGCGAGATGAGCGCCGCAACCCCAGAGTCAGTCACGACTGGTCCTAATGGTCAGGGGTCCCTTTACCTTGACACACAAAGGCCCTCATATTCCTCCTGTTTAACAGCGCTCAATCAATCAATCACTTTATTTGCATGCCGCCTTTCCATAGTTAAAGGTAAAGGGACCCCTGACCATTAGGTCCAGTTGCGGATGACTCTGGGGTTGCAGCGCTCATCTCGCTCTACAGGCCAAGGGAGCTGGCGTTTGTCCGCAGACAGCTTTTTCAGGTCATGTGGCTAGCATGACTAAGCCGCTTCTGGCGAACCAGAGCAGCGCACGGAAACGCCGTTTACCTTCCCGCCGGAGCGGTACCTATTTATCTACTTGCACTTTGACGTGCTTTCGAACTGCTAGGTTGGCAGGAGCAGGGACTGAGCAACGGGAGCTCAGTCCTTTACTATCAGGGGTCCTTTACCTTCACCTGAACAAATGTGGGGTTGGTTTATGAAGCCAAGGGGTCAGGAGCTTCTAATAGTTTGGGGAGTGCCGGTTCAGGTCCTCCCTGGCACCTCCCAGTCCGAGACCACTTGTGGGTCGTTCCCCAATATTTGGGGCATTTCGAGGGGGGTCTGTGTGTGTAGAGTGAGTTGCGTCTTCATCTACCTAAACTTTGCATCTGTCACAGGAACACACACACACACACACACACACCGTACCCGGTGCCACTGGCCGTCGTCGAGGCGCTGCCCCCCGGAAACGGTGACGTTCGTCAAGGTGTTGTGGATCTGGATTTCGGGTTTGCCATTGCGCAGAGCCAGGAGGAACCAGTTGACTCCGGGGCTCATGTCCCCGTAGAAGATCACGCCTTCCGGGTCGAAGGTGCGGAAGTCGAAATAGGAGGTGGCACTGGGGAGACGGAATCAGAAGCTGCTGAGATCAGCCAGGCCCCACTTAATCCCAGAATGGTAGAGTTGGACGGGACCTCTGAGGGTCATCTAGACCAACCCCCGAAATGCAGAAAGCTTTTCAAGGTTTAATGATTTATTGTGTTTTTATATATGTTGGAAGCTGCCCAGAGTAGCTGCGGAAACCCAGTCAGATGGATGGGGCACAAATATTATTATTATTATTATTATTATTATTATTATTCCACCAGTTTTATAAACTCACTGAAAATCCAGAAACTTTCTCAGGTTCTCAGGTTTTTCCCTTCTTTTAATAATTTCACTGGGCAGTGGGGTTTTGACAAGAAATTTTCCGCCCTGGGTACCCTCTGACCTTGCTACGCCACTGTCCCGATGGCTCTCAGGACCTCGCAGCATGACTCAGGCGCTTACCTTGTCACCGTGCGTGGATCGATGACCAATGTGGCCGTTGGGGAGGGGTCTCCCCATCTCTGCCCAACGTTCAAAGCACCTGCCTCTCCAGAAACGGACTGGAAGCACTGGCCGTACTGGGGGGAAAAGATATAATGGCCATTTACCATCATTGGCCACTAGGTGGCAGCACCGACCCGGAAAAGAAATAGGGAACGGGTGAATTACCAGAACTGACCGGTAGGTGGTGATGATGCTGCTGCAAATAAAGAATATTCCACAGTTCATTACACCTCAACGCCACAAGGTGGCGCTGTTGCCCCGTTGAAATTTAATACATATTTTTCCCCCTGCGTAAACTGCTTTAGAAAGCCAATTGTAATTAATTAATAGCAGGGCTCGTTTTCGGTGCAGCTCGGAGCCATTGTCAATTCGGCGTTTCTTTCTTGCGCTGGCGTCTCGTGGGAATGAAATCTGGATTAATTCCGCGGGGGAAGAAAAATAACAGAATTACGCCCTATTTGCCTTAAATAAATAAATAAGGATCTGCAATAGACGCCTTATTTACCCACCCACCCGGAAGGGGGAATCTACGCTTTTAAATTGTGCAATAGGCACAATTTCAACCTATAAAGCTTTGGTCAGTAGGAAGTGGAGATGGTGGGTTTCACCTGTTGAATTTCTGCCTGTAGGCCAGCTGTGAAAAGCCCCGGGGCCCTATAAACAGAGGCCACTAGATGTAAGTCAATCAAATCCCCTTCCTGCTGTGCGGATGAGCAGTTATACTGTATTAGCTGTAAGGCTATTATTATTATTATTATTAAAGATTTAAAGGTAAAGGTAAAGGGACCCCTGACCACCAGGTCCAGCCGTGGCCAACTCTGGGGTTGCGGCGCTCATCTCGCTTTACTGGCCGAGGGAGCCGGCGTACAGCTTCCGGGTCATGTGGCCAGCATGACTAAGCCGCTTCTGGCGAACCAGAGCAGCGCACGGAAACGCCGTTTACCTTCCTGCCGGAGTGGTACCTATTTATCTACTTGCACTTTGACGTGCTTTCAGACTGCTAGGTGGGCAGGAGCAGGGACCGAGCAACAGGAGCTCACCCCGTCGCGGGGATTCGAACCGCCGACCTTCTGATCGGCAAGCCCTAGGCTCTGTGGTTTAACCCACAGCGCCACCCGCAATTTATTACTTTACAAAAACACATGCATTGCATTGTCTACAGACCAGTTTCATGTGTTGCGAGACGTTAGTGTTGCATGGAGTATTGGGTTGGGAAGAGAAGAGAGGGAAATAGGGGGAGGGACACAAGACCCAAACTTTCTTCCTCTTCTTCTTCTTCTTCAAAATCTCTGAGGAATTAAAATGTTGGCACCCATGAAGGAGGCCTGAGCCAACCCAGGCCACTTCCTGGGACCTCTGCTTCAGCCCTGATTTCCTCTTCTTTTTATTATTATTATTATCATTACCTTTAAAATTAAATTGGGGGGGGGATCTATTGGTGTCCAAAACCTTTCATCATTACCATCACTATTTTTTACTATTTCACCTTATTGCCTTTGCTATTGTTTTTCTTTTCTTTTTCCCTTTTTTTGTTTTTAAAGACACACACACACAAAATAAAACAGATTATTTAATAACAATATATTTTTCCTTCCCCTCATTCTCCCAAAGGTTTTTTTTTATATACCCTTTTATTTTTACTTTTATTATTTTATATAGGTAGGTAGGTACTACTTCAACATTTTTAGTTCTTTCTTTCCTTCCTTCCTTCCTTCCTCTTCTCTTTTTCCTTCTCCCCCCCGCTCCACAAAGCTGTAAGGCAATTATTATTTTTAAAAACACACACAGTGTGTTTGGGGGCGGGTATTGTTTTTGTTTGTTATGACGGCATGTGTTTTTGTCTTTTTATATTGTAAACTGCCCAGTGATCTTCAGATAGAGCTCTGAAAGGGGCTAGGAGCCCGTCAGGAAAAAAATATAGCAGGGACCAAGTAATTCAGTTCTTTACTTTCAAAATATTAGGTGACCTGTGGGGGTGGGAAACCCTTCCCAAACTCTAAAAACTAATTTCCCATCACACACTGCCTCTCCATTGCAGGGAGGAAACTACAAACCCCATGATGCTTTGCAAAGACAGCCTCCAGGGAAAACTTCACCTGTTGAGCTCCTGCCTGTGGCGTAGTTGCGAAAAGGCGCCAGGGATTTTGTGAGGGCAGAGCAATCATTTCATGAAGGAGCCTCTGATATTTATTTCCCCTGCCTCTCTTCTTTAAAGACATTCTTTTCCTTGGCGCTGCTGAAGGCACTCTGGACATGCTCAGAGAGATCTCCAGCACGAAATGTCCCCGAGGCCGAACCCAAAGCGTCAGCGGGAGATGTGGGGCTGAATGCAGCCCACCCAGAGCCCAGTCTCCTGTCTGGGAAGGAGGAGGAGTCCTCCACTCCCATCAGAAGAATCCTGTGGCAGGGAGTTCCACAGTTTAAGTGCACAAAAGAGGACTTCTTTTGGCCTGGCCTGACTCTTCCAATGCTCACCTTCATTGTATATCCACAAGTTCTAGTGGGTGGAAATTCTCCAGGACAGGCTTACCTTTATAAACGTTGCGCCATCCTATGACGCAGACGGCGTTCTCCCTGCTTCCGACGTTGCTGCAAGCACTCTGGACGTGCTCAGAGGGATCTCCGGCGTGAAACGCCCTGAGGCCGAATCCAGGCACGGCTGGGGTATACGGGGCCCAGTTGCGCCCCCAAAATCTTCCCAACACCCCTCTCCCAGACGGTTGCTCCCCGCTACCCGGCAAATCTCCCAAACTCACCTTGGGAACGTGGACACCCAATATGTCCTGGAGCCCCTCCCCGGCCGCCCAAGGGGGTCCTGAGACCACCAGGAGGACCAGCCAAGACGAGATGGGGATCATTTCTCCGGAGGGTGTCAAGATGCAACAGTGTCTGGCAGAGACTGCAGCCGCGAGCCGGGATATGCGGTGGGCAAACAGCGATAATTCTGCACTGTCAGGAAAAGTTGTTGACATAAACTCATCGGGGTCAAGGCTTGCATGGACGCAGCAGAAATTCATGGGGGCAGGGAGACGGGATTTGGGGGCCCGGAGCCTGAGCCCGGCTCTCTGGAATTCCACAGCACATCCAGATGTGCTCCTGCAACTTCCATCCTGGTTCCAAAAATCGCCACCTGGACCCGTCTTCTCCGTGCGCCAGTCTCCCCGGACCACAGCGTTTCTTTCCCTTTGTTCTAAATTGTTTTATTTGAACAGACGATAGGAGAGGTAAGCCTTGTCTAAGCTTCGAAGCAAAGAGGGAAGGGAGCTTTGGCCAAACCAGAAACAAGGCCTCTCTCTCTCCCTCCTCTTGCAAGCCAAAGAGCTCCTTTGCAAAGATGCGCTTTGCAAGAAGCTCGTTTGGAGAGACGTCGGTGGCGCGATAAAACGCCGCAAGGCCCACAACTGCAGTCTTATTATGGCAAGCAGCTGCATCGCAACAAAAGCGAAAGATGCTCCATTTAAGGCAAACCTCACCCCATGCCCCATATGGGACGCGGGTGGCGCTGTGGGTCAAACCACAGAGCCTAGGACTTGCCGATCAGAAGGTCAGCGGTTCAAATCCCCGCGACAGGGTGAGCTCCCGTTGCTCGGTCCCTGCTCCTGCCAACTTAGCAGTTCGAAAGCACGTCAAAGTGCAAGTAGATAAATAGGTACCACTCCGGCGGGAAGGTAAACGGCGTTTCCGTACGCTGCTCTGGTTCGCCAGAAGCGGCTTAGTCATGCTGGCCACAGGACCCAGAAGCTGTATGCCGGCTCCCTCGGCCAGTAAAGCGAGATGAGCGCCGCAACCCCAGAGTCAGACACGACTGGACCTAATGGTCAGGGGTCCCTTTACCCTTTACCTTTTACAACCCGTGCATCTAGCCCAACCCCTTAAACGCAGGAATCTTTTGCCTGGCGTAAAACTTGAACCCAAGACCTTGAGACTAAGATTCTCACGCTCTACCAACTGAGTTATCATCCTCTTGCATATTGCGAGGGCAGGAGTCACAGATCCCTCTCGTCTCCCATACGGTTTGGGGGTGAGTGCGAGACTCCAAGATCCCCCATTCAGGGGAAAATGGAGGGTACCCCCATTAGGATTAGGTAAAGGGTAAAGGGACCCCTGACCATTAGGTCCAGTTGTGGCCGACTCTGGGGTTGCGGCGCTCATCTCGCTTTATTGGCCGAGGGAGCCGGCGTCCAGCTTCCGGGTCATGTGGCCAGCAGGACTAAGCCGCTTCTGGCGAACCAGAGCGGCACACGGAAACACCATTTACCTTCCCGCTGGAGCAGTACCTCTTTATCTACTTGCACTGGTGTGCTTTCGAACTGCTAGGTGGGCAGGAGCAGGGACCGAGCAACGGGAGCTCACCCCGTCACGGGGATTCGAAACGCCGACCTTCTGATCGGCAAGTCCTAGGCTCTGTGGTTTAACCCACAGCGCCACCCCACGGATAAATCTGCGCTCAGGAGAGCCATATATCAGGTGGGGGACACCTGGCTTGCCAGTTAATATATGTGAAAAGGATCTAGGCCATGCGTAGGCAAACTAAGGCCCGGGGGCCGGATCCGGCCCAATCACCTTCTCAGTCCGGCCTGCGGACGGTCCAGGAATCCATGTGTTTTTACATGAGTAGAATGTGTGCTTTTATCTAAAATGCATCTCTGGGTGATTTGTGGGGCACAGGAATTTGTTTGTTTGTTTTTTCCAAAATATAGTCCGGCCCCCCACAAGGTCTGAGGGACAGTGGACTGGCCCCCTGCTGAAAAAGTTTGCTGAGCCCTGATCTAGGGGTCTGAGTGGACCACAAGCTCAACGTGAGCCAACAGTGTGATGCAGTGGCAGAAAAAGCCAACGCTATTCTAGGCTGCGTCAGGAGAAATATAGTGTCCAACTCAAGGGAGGTAACGGGACTGCTCCATTCCGCCTTGGTCAGATCACACTGGGAATACCGTGTCCCGTTCTGCAAACCACAATTTAAGGATGTTGACAAGCTGAAAGGTGTGTCGAGGAAGGCAAACAAGACGGTCAAGGGTCTGGAAACCAAGCCTGATGAGGAACGGTTGAAGGAGCTGGGTGAGTTTAGCCTAGAAAGGAGAAGATCTGACAGCCATCTTCAAATAGCTGAAGCACTGTCCCATAGAAGAGGGGGCAAGCTTGTTTTCTCCCGCTCTGGAGGGTAGGACTCGAACCCGTGGCTTCAAGTTACAAGGAAGGAGATTGCGACGAAACATTCGGAAGAACTTTCTGACAGTAAGAGGTGTTTGACAGTGAGACAGTCTCCCTTGGGAGGTGATGGGGGCCCCCCATCAGCTTCAGCCGGTAGCCCAGCGGCACCCCTATCTGGACAGGAATAGCCTAACTACTGTTGTCTATGCTCTGGCAACCTCTAGGCTCGATTAAAGGTAAAGGTAAAGGGACCCCTGACCATTAGCTCATCTCGCTTTATTGGCCGAGGGAGCCGTCGTACAGCTTCCGGGTCATGTGGCCAGCAGGACTAAGCCGCTTCTGGCGAAACCAGAGCAGTGCACAGAAACGCCGTTTACCTTCCCGCCGGAGCGGTACCTATTTATCTACTTGCACTTCATGCTTTCGAACTGCTGGCAGGAGCAGGGACCGAGCAACGGGAGCTCACCCCGTCGCGGGGATTCAAACCGCCGACCTTCTGATCGGCAAGTCCTAGGCTCTGTGGTTTAACCCACAGCGGCTGCCTCTGAAGATGGTTCGGAAACTTCAGAATTCAGCGGCCAGGTTGCTCACCTGAGCAGACAGTTTGAGCATATTGGACCGATCCCGGTCTGACTGCACTGGCTACCAATTAGTTTCCGGGCCCAGTTCAAAGTACTGGTTTTGACCTATAAAGCCGTAAAGCAGGAGTAGGCAACCTAAGGCCCGGGGGCCGGATGAGGCCCAATTGCCGTCTCAATCCGGCCCGCGGTCTGGGAACCAGCGTGTTTTTACACGAGTAGAATGTGTGCTTTTATTTAAAACGCATCTCTGGGTTATTTGTGGGGTATAGGAATTCGTTAATTTCCCCCCCCTCCAAAAAAAATATATAGTCTGGCCCACCACATGGTCTGAGGGACGGTGGACCAGCCCATGGCTGAAAAAGGCTGCTGACCCCTGCCTTAAACAGCTCAGGACTGCAATGCCTCAAGGACCGCCTCTTTCCATATGAACCAACCCCGACCCGGAGATCATCTTCTGAGGCCCTTCTTTGTGTGCCTCCTCCATGAGAGGCCCGGAGGGTGTCAACACAAGAACGGGGCCTTCTCTGTGGTGGCTCCCCATCTGTGGAATGCTCTCCCCAGGGAAGCTCGCCTGGTGCCTTCATTATACGTTATGCGCCAGGCAAAAACATTCATCATCAACCAGGCCATTGGTCAATTAAACCACCGATGGCCTTTAAAACTGTTTGGGGGCGGCAGCTGCTGTTTTGTTTTGTTACGATGTTTCTCGTTTGTTTGTTTTGGTGCTTTTATACTGTAAACTGCCCTGTCATCCTCAGATGAAGGGTGGTATAGAAAAAATCTCTCTTATCTAAGGATGAGGAGTGTGGACCATTCAGGAATTTCTCCAGGATCGGGTTAGGGATTAGACAAGGCATAGATCCATCAACCGATTAGCTGTGTGAAGGCGCCAACATTATTCTTGTTGGCAGAGGGCAAATAACAAGTTTGGCAGGAGTTGGGACAATTGGCTATAATCACAGAAATGTAGAGATGGAAGAAGTCATCCAGTCCAGTCTGACGCAGGAACCGCAGCTAGAGGATCTCTGGCACAGGTGTGCAGTCCTGCACTCTGTACATGCCCAGAGGCACCTTGCTTCTCATTCAGAATCCTTCCAAAAGCGGTCAGATATTGCTTTCGCCTCCCTCTCCCCCTAACTTTTTTTGGATTCCCCTAGCGCTAAAGTACACATAGGGACAGACCCTTGCCCTGTATGGCCAGGCTGTGCCCCCCACCCCCCAAACTCTAGGGAGATATATTTGACAGAGGGGCCGGTGTGGGGGTCACCTCTGGGCCAGCAACCCCACGCCTTCCTTGCTTTCTCAGCAAGGTGAATCGGTCATCATCCGCAGAGGTAAAAGGCTATGTTTGTCTACTTGCTGGTTGCAACAGAAGCAAAGGATTAAGTGTCAGTGGGGCAAAGATCTAGGGCAGGATTGGTCCTCCAGCAAGCCAGGAACCAATCTTAAAACCAGGGGCTGGAGGGAGCAGGTTTACGGCACAAAAGGAGGGTGGTTTCCTCCCCCCCCACACACACACAGAGGCCCCAAAATCTGATTTGTTTTTTTCTGGGCAGAGACAGGTTGGTGGCGGAGTGGGGGGAACTTGCTGAAGTCCACCCACCCCACAGCTGGTCCCCCCCCCCACCAGGCCAAACAAACACCCCCAAGGTGGGTCAGCCTGAAATCCAGAAAAGATATTAGCTGCTTAACAGGATTGCTATTTCCCAAAAGGTTAAAATCCCAGCAGGAAAAAAGCAACAACGCAGGCTTTCATCTTTCCATTTTCTCTCCTCTGAATTACAGAAGCGAAGGGTTGGGAGAAGGGACCCCCGAGGGCCATGGAGTTGGTTTGGATGACCCTCAGGGGTCCCTAGGGGCCAAACCTACAATTCTGATTCTATATACTCTTCTCAAACAGGCCAAGAACAACTCTGAAGAATAAGGCCCCCTTCCCCACCCCCCAAAAAAAATCCTGCTATTTTTAGCAGCACACCCAGGCAGCGGTGGCCACCCCACACTCCCAAGGCCACAGGAGGCAATGTAACTGTGGGAGTATGTGTTAGTGGTTAGAGCAGGCTTCCTCAACCTCGGCCCTCCAGATGTTTGGAGACTACAATCCCCATCATCCCCGACCACTGGTGCTGCTAGCTAGGGATCATGGGAGTTGTAGGCCGAAAACATCTGGAGGGCCGAGGCTGAGGAAGCGTGGGTTAGTGTGTCAGGCTACACGGACGTGGGAGAGCCGGGTTCGAATTCTATCCCCCGTGGAGCCAGGGTTCTTGTGTTGGGGATTCAAGGAGAAAGGGAGAATCATGTATGTCCCAGATTGAGCTCCTAAGGGACAGAAAAAGGTGGAATATTTACATATTGTTAGCCGCAACCACCAATTGGGAGGTAACAAAAGACTAAATGTGACCCCCGTTTTCACAAAGCTGGAATACGTGGTGGGCGCTCGCCGCTGCTGCTACTGCTTTCTTAACAGTTTCTCGTGGAGCGTATAATTGTCTTTTTATTTTGAAGAAGTTATTTGAGTTACACACACAGATGCAGAGAGATAAATACAGTATTTTTTTTTTTTTTGTCTAACGGACTCTTCACACTTGGAACACTTGGAACAGAGACCAGGAGAAAGCGGCAAAAAATAATAATAATATTATTATTTCATCCTCGTCATTTGGATCCGGCCACCCCGCCACCCGCCCGCGTACTGTATTTATTTGTTGTTGTTTTTAAACCCTTGGTATCGTTCCCCCCCTCTCCTTTTTTAAAACGGTTTCAGCAAATCTTCTAAAGTGCCATAAAACTACCTAGAGGTGCTTCTAAAAAGTAACAAAAAATTAAAAACCAAAAAGAGAGAGAAAGAGAGACAAGTTTACATTCAGTAGCAAACGGTCAACAATCACCGAGAGCCCCCCCAGTGGCGAAAAAGTGCAAAAGATCAGAGAGACGGACAGCTATGTACACGTTAGTGACCGCCCTTCTGCCCCCCACCAAGACTGCCCCACGTGCCCTCCCCACCCTGGTGGTCCGGAGTGCAACCCCCCAAAAAAATAACTTTGGTGATCTCTCTATCTCCCCATTCTCAACCCTGACCGGCCTCTTTCAACGCATCTGCTGCGAGGTGCGCAGGGGTCCTCGCTGGCGACACTGGATCGCGACCAGAATCGTGCCCCACTGCCAAACCGTGGGGCAAATCCCTGGGCGCAGCCTCTTTCTGCTTAGCCGCCCGGCTTGACCTTTCAACCTTTGCAGGCCGAAAAAACCACCCCAGGCCTGCTGACCGGTTGCCATCCTAGGGATGGGTCAGAGCGGCGGGGTGGGGGGGCCTGTACCCCAACAGCCCCATAGCGGAAGGGGGGGGAGTTACACAGGGGGCCTGGAGGGCCGGGTGAGAGCGCAAGGGGCCTGCCCTTTCAAGGAATCGACTCCAGGTCTCCGGAATTACGCGTCTTTTATGATGCTGGAGGAATTTGTGAGCGTGATGCGGGGTGGGGTTGTGGGGGGAGAGGAAGAGTCAGGAAGTCGTCCCCCCCCAAACAAACACGCACCCCCCTCGCCCCAAGCAGTGCCTTCTTATCGGTGGCGCAGCAGCGGCAGACGAGGAGGAGGAATGTGCATTTTTTTGCTGCATTGCAGGTGAGCCGCAGTAGGGATGTTGCGGCCAGGTGGAATGCATGGGGAGGCAGCGCTAAAGTGCTGGAGGCGACGAGGGGGGGGGTTAGAGGAGACTCTGCGTTGTGATGGGGGGGGGGGAGAAGGAGGCGTTATCGGCTCTGCTTGGACAAAAACTGGGGTGGGTTTTTTAGTGGGGGGGGAGAGAAGAGAAATCTGCAAGGCCGTGTTTCCGCTCTGCTGCTGCAGAGAGAAGACTGTGGTTTCCTTTTGCAGACCTCGGTTTGCTGCAAAGAGAAATTGGGGGGGGGGGCAGCTTTGCTGCAGTGCGTGGGGGGGGGGAGGCGAGAGAGGCGGCTCGTAGCACATTCCCTGCACTGGAGCAATTGGTGAAATTTTGCACGCCGCAATTCTCTCTCTCCGTCCTGTCCCCCCTCGGAGTCTCCAAACGGGGGGGGGGGGGGGAGGCGCCACCAGCTCCCGCCCCCCCCAAGCAAAAGCTTTCTTTGGAAGGCCTTCTGATCCTTGCCCCCCCCCCCCCTGTTCAAGCGCCAGTCTCCGAACAGGCCTGGCAAGGCCCACAGAAGATGGAGATGCCTTGGTTCCACTGGGGGGGGGGGCGGAGACGGGAAAATTCAACAGGCGGCCTTTGGGGGCAATGGAGGAGGCGTTTTGCATCCCTTAAAATATTAAGGGAAGTCTAGAGAGGGTTTTTTAACACTTAAAGCTGAGAATGGAGGCTGGCGGAGGCAGGATGGGTTAAGGTTACCCCACCACCACCCCCCAAAAAACGACCTCCCTTGGCCAGAACTTTCTAGTTTCCGGAAGGAGGTTGCGGAGGCAAAAATACGCAGCGAAGGCTGCAAGTTTCAGGGGTGGGGGCAAAGCTGAAGCTCATTTTAGCAGTAAGGGGGTGGTCAGGAGTGATTTCGATTCCAGAAAGGAATTGAATGTCCCTTTCTTTGCAGAAAACTCCACTCCTGGGTTAACGTTCTCCATTTCTGCAAGCTTATCGAAAGCGCAGAATTGACGGAGGTACCCAAAGGTCATCCATTCCAACCCCATACAACGCAGGAATCTCAGTTATCTTATATTTTGGAGGAGGGCGGAAGCTATTTTGCTCCTATTGTTCAACAGGAACCTTTGGAAGTCCGAAAGCTCATCACACCCAGAAATCTAGCAGCAGGACCCTGCTATCGTCTGGAGTTCTGCGTTTTCCCCAACCTAGGGCTTTTCAGATATTTTGAATCACAAAAACCTGGAGGGGACCGGCCCATTTTTTGAAAGGTGCGCTAAAACATCTGGCATGCATAACTCCCCTTGTCCTAAGCCTTTTGGCAAAACTTTGCCCCTCCCTTTAAAAATCTTCGATATCGAAAACCTCCACATATTATTTCTTCAAAATCCTTCTGCTTGCTTTTTAAAGTTCATGCCGTTTTCCCTAGAAGGGCGAGTTTTCTTTCGCCACCCCCTACTAATTAGGGGTTGTTGTGTTTTTGTTTTCAAAGGAAAAAACAAAATCCCCACTGTTTTGGTCCTTTCGTTAGCCAAAAAAAAATCCACAAATTTAAATTTGTTCTGCCTTTTCATCTTGGAAGTAGGCAGAACGCATTACCCCCAGGCTTAGAAAACACCTAAGGCTTTTTAAAATAATGGGGCGATTGCCATCCCTAACCCCACCCTGCCCATATTCTCTAATCTAAAATAATAATAGTAATAAACCCACTCCCCCCAAAATATGTAGAGTGGCCTTCTGGAAAGCAGCACTCAGTTCTCCCTAAATCCTAAAAAATATTCCATTACTTATTTATTTGGGTTTGTAGCAAGAGAAGGGAAGGGGGGGGGGAGGAAGAACAGCATTTTGATCGCCTTCCTGGAGAGGAAGGGAACATTTCCATATCTTAAAACCGTTTTGAAGACTTGCCCAGCTGCCTTATGGACAGGGCTGGCTAAAAAAAAGGGAGTTTTTTTTCCTGATGCAAATGTAAACCTAAGTGGTCCAGAATGCTCATTGGCATGACAAATGCCTGTGCCCCTTTTAATCCTCAGGAGGCTCAAAGCTCGCTTAAGCCGCAGCTGGAAAATGCTTTCTTGCACTAGGACTAGTTTATTTATTTATTGAGAGAGAAAGAGAGAGAGAGGGGTTTGGGTTTTTAATTCCTGGACTGTGAAATGTAACTCAACTGCCCTATTGCTGAGTTTAGGTGGTGTGTGTTTTTTTGGGGGGGTAAATCCCAGTATGGAAGAAGTGGGAGGGAATGTGTGTTACTGGGAGGGTGGGGTTATGTGCTGTGCTGTTGTTTTTTGCAAAGGCGGCAGGAGTGGGATGAGCTTGGCGGAAATTAAAATCACAGTACACAGTGCAATCCGGTCTGGTTGCCCACCCCACTCCAGCTGAAAGGGCACCCCCCCCCCCAGAGAGAGAGAGAGAGAGAGAGAGAGAGAGAGAGAAGGGCATGCTACCAGGATGGCAGCAAACTTGGCAGCCCCCACTCCTGCAAACTGTGTCCATATGCGATGCAAAGCTGCTGTTGCTCTTTGTGGCTGTTGCAAAAACCCTGGAAGACCAGATCCTACAGAACCGTCCTCTCCCCTCCTCACCATCTCAACAGGACACCCTGCCCTCCTCCTCCTCCTCCCCCCACCCCACCCCTTCCTCCTCCTCCTCCTCCATCCAGCCGAAAGGAAAATGTGATTCATCCCCTTCAAGCTGCAAAACAAAAAAACGAACAGGGAGAAATAACGCAGCTGCCAAAAGCAGAGGTTAGAGATCCGAGGCGCTGGGCCGGAGGAGGGGGGGCCAGAGGGCACACACACCCCAAAAAAGGGGGGAGAGGGGGGAGACAGTTCTGTGGAATGAGACCTTTTTCCCCTTGGCAGGGGGGAAAATGGCGATTTGGGGAAGGAAGAGACCTGGAAGGCAAGAGATAAAAGGGGCATCGGCTGGTGGGAGGAGCCGAAAAAGAGCTCCGCCCCAAAGCAGAGGCTCCTCCTCCCAGCCAGAAAAGAGCTCCGCCCCCCAAAGCAGAGGCTCCTCCTCCCAGCCGGAAAAGAGCTCCGCCCCCCCAAAGCAGAGGCTCCTCCCAGCCGAAAAAGAGCTCCGCCCCCAAAGCAGAGGCTCCTCCTCCCAGCCGGAAAAGAGCTCCGCCCCCCAAAGCAGAGGCTCCTCCTCCCAGCCGTCCCTTCCCAGGCAGGGGTAACAGGGAGAGCCAAGACGGGGAGGGGGGAGCAGGATGGGGGGGGGGAGACGACGACGAAGATTTGCTTGTGCAAGTTCACTCTGGTAATATATATACGGAGCAAGAAGACATTCATATGGGGGTGTGGTTGGGAGAAGGGGGGGGAGAGGGGTTACCCTGTACCTATTTTCGCTGCTACGTCTTTTTTTTTTGTCTGTTTGTTAAAAAAAAAAAGTCTTATCTACGATGTGCCCCACTCGACAAAACACGGGGATGTGAAGTTGTGGGTCAGGGGGCTGCACTATGCATCCCCTCAACGCCATCAATGCTCACCTCTGGTTTCCATAGCTCTGTCTCTCTCTCTGCCACAGCGCTGCCACTGCAATCTGCCCCCCCCTCCACCCCGAACATCCCTTCTCGGGGAGGAGGGAGCCGCCTTCCACAACCCCAGAGCGCCCCAAACCCTCCACTGGCTGGGCAGGAGCTGGTGTCCAAAGCCACGAGAGGGTGCCATCTTGGGAGAGGCGGAAACGGCGGCGCCCCTCGCCTCCAGCTGACCCCCTCCGCCCCAACCTCCCTTGGTCCTCCCCCTCAGAGAAGGCTCCCTTTCTTCAGCCTCTCTGGGGTGGGCAGCTCCCCTCTGCCCTCGTGGGCGGCGCCAGCCCCCATCGCCATGGCCACGCTGGAGGCCGCAGCGGCAGAGCCGTCGTGGACCTCGCCGCGACACGGGTTCACCGAGTAGCTGAAGACGCCGGGGAGGAACGGCAGCGGCTGCCCCTTCTCGTCCGGGACGACCATGTTCAGCGCCACCGGGAGGGTGAAGTTGTAGGGGTAGGCCGCCAGCAGTTGGTGGCCGTACATCAGAGGGTAGGGGTCTGGGTAGAAGCAGACTTTGCCGCCGTCTGCGCCGTCGCCGCCACCCGCCTTGCCCACGCCGCTGAACTGGATGGCGCTGGGGTAGGCGAGGAACGAGGGCGGCTTGTCCTCCAGGTCCTTCCGGGTCCGACAGCTGCCCGGCACCAGCAAGGGCAGCGGGTACTCCTGGACAGGGTATCGCTCCTCCTCCAGCTCGGGCGCCAAGGCCTCTTTCAGAGCGAGACCCGTGTGTGAGATGACGGGGTCCTGCAGGGAGTGTGGTAATCTTGGCGGGAGTTCGGCAAGGCTGGTGGCCGCCTCCAGAACGGGCGGGTGGGCGCTGAGCTCCTCCGGAAACGGAGACTTGTTGCCCTCTGCCAGGGGCACGGCCTCCTCTTCCGGCACCGGGGTGCAGCGTCCGTAAGGCTGCATGTCCACCGCCACGGGCCCCTCCTCCTCCTCCTCAGGGACCTCTTGCGGGCACAAGGGCGCTTCGCCGCTGGAGGACGACACCTGCATCTCCTGCATGGTCTCCTCTTTGACGACGGGCGCCGGCACGACAGCCACGGGAGGAGCCTCCGCCGCCTTCTTGGAGTAGGCGATGACGGTGGTGAGGGCCGGCAAGGGCGGTGGCTCGGGCGGCTCGCCCTCGTGGCGCTTCATGTGGCGGCTGAGGGCCGCAGCCGTCTTGCACACCTTGGTGCAGCGGGCGCAGGTGAACTTGACCAGGGGCTTGCGGCCGACGCGGTGGGCCTGCGAGGGCGCCAGGGGCGGGTTGTCCTTGGCGAGGCGCCCGTGCACTCGCTCGTGCTTCCTCAGTTTCTTGAGCGCAGAGAACAGCTTGCCACAGGCGCCGCACTCGTGCTTCCACTCGGAGCCGCGCCCTGCTTTGGGTGGCTGGCTTGGCCCCTCAATTTCGGAGGCGGCCCCGCGGCCGGCGGACACTTCCGGCGGCACCGACTCGCTGGTCCCCACATCCTCCTCCTCCTCTTCTTCCTCCTCCTCTTCTTCCTCCCCGGCCTTCTCCGTCCTTTTCATCCAGCGCAGAGAGCGGAGCTTGCGGTGCCACCGGGACTTTTTCATCTTGGGCAGCGTGTTGGCACCGGCGCCGGCCTTCCGCTTGGGCTTGTAGCTGTAGTAGGGCCGCCACAGCTGGTCTTCGGCGTCGCCCCTGTCGCTCTCCTCCTCACCGCTCTCGTTGGCGTACCCCCTGCCGGCATGCTTGCTGTGAGGAGCTTCCGGCGCCGCCTCCTTCCCGCTGCTCTGCTCCCTGCCGAAATCGAAGCGCTTGCCCCCGACGCGGCCGCCCTTGTCCAGCATGAGGTCCGTCTCAGAGATCCGCCGCTTGACAATGGCTTCCTCGCCGATGCGCACTGTGATCTGGCAGAGCGGCGCGGCGCGGCTTTCGGAGGCGGCCCCGACGTACGCCGGCTTTGCCATGTACGTCATAGTCCGCCCGGACCGCGGCCCCCTGGCCCTGGACTCCCCACTCTCTTCCAGAGTCTGCCCCTCTGCCTTCTGCGACTGGATGTACTCCTTCAACACTTGCTTCTTGATAGGCCTGGCTGTGGCAGAAGATGGCACCTGTGTCGGGGGCAGAGGCCCTGCATCCGAAGACTTGCTGTTGTAGGTGATCACCGAGGGCGTCTGTGACAACACCGACGTGCTGTGGACGATGACCGAGGAGGCGGGCCGCCCGTAGGCGATGACGGAGGCGGCCTCTGCGCTCTGGGGCCCCGGCCTCTTGTCCGAAGGAGCGTTCTCACCCGCGGCTGGGAGCGCGGGGATCTCCGGTCCCGCCGCAGTTTCCTGTGGCCGCGGAAAGCGTTCCGGCTCAGGCATCTCCAGGGAGCCGCCGTTGGCAGTGAAGACGGAAGCAATGTCGCCGTTGCCCAGCGAGGAGACCAGGTTGCCGTCCAAGGAGTCCCCGTCGCCCAGCGCCATGGGGATGGGCTGAGCCGGGAGAAGGAGGTTGTCAGGCACCAGGCCTTGGCTGTAGGTCTTGTAGGGCCTCTTTTGGGAGCGCATGGGCAGGAGGCGGTAGAGTTTGAGGGCATTGAGCTTGGGCTTGTAGCCTCCGTTGGGCGTCTTCTCGGAAGAAATCAGGCCGGGGCTGATCCCGTGGAAGGCTTTCTGGTGGGTCTTCAGGTTGTAGTAGGTGACGAAGGTCTCCCAGCAGAAGATGCACTGGTAGCGGCGCTCGCCTGTGTGCCACACCTCGTGCTTGGTGCGGTACTCGGCCAGAGCAAAGACTTTGTCGCAGTAGCGGCAGGGGTACTTCCTCCGCCAGGAGTGGACGTTGGAGTGGCGCTTGAGACTCGAGAGCGTCATGTATGAGCGCTCGCAGACGGTGCAGAAGTAGATGATGTGCCCGTCGACCACTTTGACAAAGTGGTCTTGGTCCGAGATGTAGTCCATGCGCTGCAGCCCGCGGTGGCGGAACAGCACGCTCTTCTTGGAAGACAGCGGCGGAGGCGGCTTGGGAGGCAGCCCGGGACTGGGCAGCGCCTCGCCTGCGGGGACACCCTCCTCAGCTTTCTCCATCTCCTTGCACAAGACCTCGTGTGTCTGGAGCCGCTTGATGTGGATGAAGCTCTTGCCGCAGTGCCGGCAGGAGAGAGAACGGCGCGTCCGGTGCAGTTTCATGTGCAGGCTGAGCGCCGACGACGTGGTGAAGGAGCGGCCGCAGCTCCCGCAGCAGAAGGAGCTGGCGGCCGGGTAGGAAGCTCCAGACGGGGGCGAGCGAGAGGAAGCCGGCCCTTGGTGGTCCGCCTCGCCGTTGGCGGCCGAGGGGTTTCCGGGGGAATCGTCGTGGTCCCAGCTGACGCCTCCCTTCAGCACATAAGCCAGGTCTGGCTGGGGTGGCGGCACGGCAGCGACCGAGCTGAGGTTGTACAGGATCTTGGCGGTCTCTGTTTCAGGGTCAGGCTGGCCGTCGCTGGCCGGGCTGGAGGCTTTGGCCAAATCGTGGAAGCTGAGGGGGCTGGAAGGCTCGGCCGAGCGGGAAGGGCAGGTGAGGTCAATCGGCGAACTGCACGGCCTGGAAGAGGCCCCGCCCGAGTCGTCCATCTTGGTGCCCGCCAAGGGGTCGTCCAGGTCCTCGAGGCGGGAGATGCCGAGGCGGCGGCCGACGGCCCCGATCTCCTTGGCGGCGGCCGGGCTGGGCACGGAGAGCCGGGAGTTGTAGATGAAGTTGAGGACGTCGGAGAAGACTTCGGCTTGGACGTCGGGGAGCTCCAGGATCTGGCTGGGCTGCTGGCAGCTGGACTCCTCCGACAGCACCTCCTTGAAGTAGGGGCTGGAGGCCGCGAGGACGTTCTTGTGGGCCTTGAACTTGGTGTCTTCAGCAATGATGGTGATGTCGCAGAACTGGCCGCGGAGGCGCTGCTCGTTCAGCTGGACCAGGAGGGAGCTGGAGTGGCCAATGTCCGTGAGCTCCATTGCTGCAGCCATTCAGCTGCCTCAGACCTGCAAGAAAGAGAGAAAATGGGGTAGTAATGCCTGAAGTTCTCAGCAAAGAGGGGGAACATGCAGGCTTAGTTGCTGCTGCTGCTGTTAATTGTTATATAATAATAATAATTCTTTATTATTTATACCCCTCCCATCCGGCTGAGTTTCCCCAGCCACTCTGGGCGGCTTCCAACAGAATATTAAAATACAATAATCTATTAAACATTAAAAGCTTCCCTGAACAGCTTTCAGATGTCTTCTAAAAGTCAGGGTTGTTTATTTCCTTGACATCTGGTGGGAGGGCGTTCCACAGGGCGGGCGCCACCACCAAGAAGGCCCTCTGCCTGGCTTCTCGCAGGGAGGGAACCGCCAGAAGGCCCTCGGAGCTGGAGCTCAGTGTCCGGGCAGAACGATGGGGGTGGAGACGCTCCTCCAGGTATACTGGGCCTTTGAGGCCGTTTAGGGCTTTCAAGGTCAGCACCAACACTTTGAATTGTGCTCGGAAACGTACTGGGAGCCAATGTAGGTCTTCCAGGACCGGTGTTACGTGGTCTCGGCTGCTGCTCCCAGTCACCAGTCTAGCTGCCGCATTCTGGATTAATTGCAGTTTCCGGGTCACCTTCAAAGGTAGCCCCACGCAGAGCGCATTACAGCAGTCCAAGCGGGAGATAACCAGAGCATGCACCACTCTGGCGAGGCAGACAGCGGGCAGGGAGGGTCTCATCCTGCGTACCAGATGGAGCTGGTAGACAGCCGTTGTTATTATTGTTATAATAATTCGATTTAGAGACTGCCTCTTTGAAACATGTGTTTATGAATGTCCGACACTTATGAATTGGGGTGGGGGGGATTTAAAGTTGTCGTATGATAGGCCAGTCAGCTCAGTTAGTTGGCATGTGGTGCTGGTAACACCAATTCCCATATGGGCCACTTGCATATTATTCCTGCACTGCCGGGGGTTGGACTAGATGACCCCAGGATCCCTTCCAACTCTATGATGATTCTATGACTATGTATAATTACGATTACAGTGGTACCTCGGGATACATACGCTTCAGGTTACATACGCTTCAGGTTACATACTCCGCTAACCCAGAAATAGTGCTTCAGGTTAAGAACTTTGCTTCAGGATGAGAACAGAAATCGTGCTCCGGCGGCGCGGCGGCAGCAGGAAGCCCCATTGGCTAAAGTGGTGCTTCAGGTTAAGAACAGTTTCAGGTTAAGAACGGACCTGCGGAACGAATTAAGTTCTTAACCCGAGGTAACACTGTATTCTGTGTTTTTATATGTGTTGGAAGCTACCCTGAGCGGCTGGCGCAACCCAGCCAGATGGGTTGGGAATAAGTAATAAAATTATTATTATTAATTTATTATCCTGAAAAACATACCAGTTATAGGGGGCTCTGACAACTGCTCCACGTAGTCAAAAGACTGGTATTGATTCATTGGAAAGATGCTACTATTGGCCCCCTTTGATCTATACATAATTAATTAATTTTATAATGAATGATTTTTTAGTGTTGTTTGTGCTGTACTTTTGTACTGTTTTATTGTTGTTAGCCGCCCTGAGCCCGGCTTCGGCTGGGGAGGGCGGGATATAAATAAAATTTATTATTATTATTATTACATAGACAACAGGACAACACCTCATTGAATGGATTGCTTTCAGACGCAGATTGTGTCTGGATAATGATTCAGTATTAGAAGAAGAAGAAGAAGAAGAAGAAGAAGAAGAAGAAGAAGAAGAAGAAGAGTAGTTTGGATTTAATATCCCACCTTTCACTCCCCTTCAGGAGTCTCAAAGCTGCTAACATTCTCCTTTCCCTTCCTGCCCCACAACAAACACTCTGTGAGGTGAGTGGGGCTGAGAGACTTCACAGAAGTGTGACTGGCCCAAGGTCACACAGCAGCTGCAGGTGGAGGAGCGGGGAATCGAACCCGGTTCCCCAGATTACGAGACTACCGCTCTTAACCACCACACCACACTGGCACAGCACAAATGCACAAATGTGGAGGCAGACCATAGAAGCATGGAATCGTAGAATTGGAAGGGACCCTGAGGCTCATCTCATCCAATGGCCTGCAAAGCAGGAATTTGCAGCAGCCCCATACGGAGATCAAACCTGCCACCTTTGGCGTGGTGAGCGCCATGCTCTAACCAACAGAGCCGTCAATAATAATAATAATTATTATTATTTATTTATACCCCGCCCATCTGGCTGGGTTTCCCCAGCCACTCTGGGCAGCTCACAGCATACATCAGAACAAACTAAAAACATCAAACACTAAAACTTCCCGATACAGTGGTACCTCGGGTTACATACGCTTCAGGTTACAGACTCCGTTAACCCAGAAATAGTACCTCGGGTTAAGAACTTTGCTTCAGGATGAGAACAGAAATTGTGCTCTGGCGGCGCGGCAGCAGCGGGAGGCCCCATTAGCTAAAGTGGTGCTTCAGGTTAAGTACAGTTTCAGGTTAAGAATGGACCTCCAGAACGAATTAAGTTCTTAACTCGAGGTACCACTGTACAGGGCTGCTTTCAGATGTCTTCTAAAAGTTGCTTATTTCCTTGACATCTGCTGGGAGGGTGTTCCACAGGGCGGGTGCCACCACCAAGAAGGCCCTTTGCCTGGTTGCCCGTACCCTCACTTCTCGCTGGGAGGGAACTGCCAGAAACCCCTCGGAGCTGGACCTCAGTGTCCAGGCAGAACGATGGGGGTGGAGACGCTCCTTCAGGTCTGCTGGGCCTTTGAGGCCGTTTAGGGCTTTCAAGGTCAGCACCAACACTTTGAATTGTGCTTGAAAAGGTTCATCTCTTACACATGGCCATGGTGCTTAGGAGCCGTGACCCCTGACCTCTCGAAAAGAGGGGCGCCACAGCTGGGGGAGAGGTCTCAGGTGTGGGGGTCTGTCTGACAGCTAGGAATGCCTGCTTTATTTATTACATTCAAATCCCACCTCTTCCCCCCCAGAGTTCAAGGTGGCAGGCATAGTTCCTGCTCCACAACAACCCTGTGAGACAGGTCAGGCCGAGAGCGAGCGAGCGAGGCCCCCCAGCGAGTAGGGATTCGAACCCACGCCTAGGAAGGGCTGGGAGAAGGCAGCCAGGAGAACCACAGGGCTCTGCTTCCCGTCAGTCCCGAAAAGTCACTTGGCTGCCGTTGACATGAGTCACACCGAGGGAAGCAGCGGGGTTGATGCTGGCATGGGCAGGCCGAAGGCCAACAGGGGAAGAGAGAGCGGCCTGTTTGGCTCGAGCAGAGAAGCCCCCAGCCCAGCCATCCTCCCCACAGGGCCCCCCCGGTCGCCCACCCCCTCCCCACTCCACCCATTGGGGAGCCATTTTGCTCAAGGAGCTCCTTCCTCCAGCTGGCAAGCCTAAAATGGCTGAAGGGAAAAAATTCCCGGTGCCAACTCGGATTAAGCAGCTGATGCCTTGGCCCGGCCCGCTCTCCGGAGCTCAGCGCGGAAGCCGCTCCAAGAGGCTCGCCTCGTTGCCCCCAGACGCTCAGGCGCCTCCTTTGGCCCGGCCGGCCCCCTCGTGTCAAGGGCTGGCCCCCGAAGGCACGCTCTGCCCTCTCCCCGCTGCAGAGAAAATCTTGTGTGTGAGAGAGAGACAGAACAATAGGGATGCCCACAATGTTTTCTTTTCTTCCAAGCCCGTCTTTCGCAAGCTTCCCTCCTCCCTCGACCTGGGTGGGACCGTCCCCACGACGCAGTTTCAGGCCATGGGGGTGTGTGTGCGTGCAAATGGGCTCGTGCCTGCGTGCACGGCGAGTGTGCGTGCGTATAACACGGCGGCAACAATTCCTTGAGGGTCTCTCTTTCTCTCGCGCACACGCATATATATAAACTCCCTTCCCGGCTGCGACAGGAGTACCCAAACGGAAAGGGAGTTTCTATGGAAACCAGCCTCGATGACGGAGGGAGAGAAAAAAAAGACGGGTTGGGGAGGGAGGGAGAAGGAAGAGGCAGCGCTCTGTGGCACAGAGCAAGAATTTGAGGAGGGGGGAGACATGTGGGACCGGCTGTATGTGGGTAAACGCAGAGAGGGGGCATGCGGGAAGCGCAAGACACTCGATGGCGTTCTGACAGGTCCAGCAGCCAGGGTATCTCTCTGGCCAGGAGATCCTGGAACCCACCTGGGGGGTTATCCAGACGTCCTTAGGCAGCCCCCTTCATTCCCATCTCTTGAGCCTGACTCTAACCACGCTTTCTTCAAGGGACGCGGGTGGCGCTGTGGGTTAAACCACAGAGCCTAGGACTTGCCGATCAGAAGGTCGGCGGTTCGAATCCCCGCCACGGGGTGAGCTCCCGTTGCTCAGTCCCTGCTCCTGCCAACCTAGCAGTTCGAAAGCACGTCAAAGTGCAAGTAGATAAATAGGTACCACTCCGGCAGGAAGGTAAACGGCGTTTCCGTGCGCTGCTCTGGTTCGCCAGAAGCGGCTCAGTCATGCTGACCACATGACCCTGAAGCTGTACGCCGGCTCCCTCGGCCAGTAAAGCGAGATGAGCGCCGCGACCCCAGAGTCGGCCATGACTGGACCTAATGGTCAGGGGTCCCTTTACCTTTAACCATGCTTTCTATCTGGCACCGGGGCCAAAACAGCTGTCACAGATCTATCCTATTGTCCCCCAGCGTCGAAGGGGGATCCCAGCGTCCCAGAGGGATCCCAGAGTTATCTTGGGGAAACCTGACCCCCCACCTTCGACTGACAGAACGGGCGGGTCGCAGCCCGATCCAAGGTGGGTTGCAACAGGAGCACCTGGCAATTACAGTGGTACCTCAGGTTACATATGCTTCAGGTTACATCCGCTTCAGGTTACAGACTCCGCTAACCCAGAAATAGTACCTCGGGTTAAGAACTTTACCTCAGGATGAGAACAGAAGTCTGGCGCAGCGGCAGCAGGAGGCCCCATTAGCTAATGTGGTACTTCAGGTTAAGAACAGTTTCATGTTAAAAATGGACCTCCAGAACAAATTAAGTACTTAACCCAAGGTACCACTGTATATGTGGGCGAAAGCTTAAGAAGCAGCGTCAAAATTGCATCCTGGGTCTTAAAATTATTATAATTTTGGGAGGTTTTTAAGGATTGATGTTTTATTATGTTCTTTATACGTGCTTGAAGCCACCCCAGATGGGCAGGAAATATTAATAATAATAATGATGATTATGATGATGTTGAAGAGACCTAGGGTGAGAGTAACACAGAATCACTCTGCCTCCCTGAGCCCTGCCCCACAGGAGCTGGTAGGCTTTGCCTTCAGGGCTGAAATAAGACTCTGCACATGCCCTCGGAACATGCCATTATATTGCCAGCGCCTGAGACCTGAAGCTCCGAGAACATCTGTAAATACATCAGAGAGAGAGAAAGGTAGAGGAGAATAAAGTTCGCATATTCAATAGGGTTGGGTAGGGTCCCCGTACTATAAAGAAGGCTGATCGCCGAAGAATGGATGCTTTTGAATTCTGGTGCTGGAGGAGACTCTGGAGAGTCCCATGGACTGCAAGAAGATCAAACCTCTCCATTCTGAAGGAAATCAGCCCTGAGTGCTCACTGGAAGGACAGATCCTGAAGCTGAGGCTCCAAGACTTTGGCCATCTCATGAGAAGAGAAGACTCCCTGGAAGAGACCCTGATGTTGGGAAAGATGGAGGGCACAAGGAGAAGGGGACGACAGAGGACGAGATGGTGGGACAGTGTTCTCGAAGCTACCAGCATGAGTTTGACCAAACTGTAGGAGGCAGTGGAAGACAGGAGTGCCTGGCGTGCTCTGGTCAGGGGGTCACGAAGAGGCGGACACGACTAAACGACTAAACAACAACAACAAGGGTCCCCGTAACCATCCTATTCGAGGGCGACCCTTCCACGGACACTGCATTTTCTCTCTGCCCCGAATGTGGAAATGAACGCGTGCCCCCCCCAAATGGAATGGTTGTGGGAAGGAAAGCGGGGAGCAAAAAACTTGATTTGCCTCGCCCGCCACTTCCGCCCGCCTGCAGTCCAGGGTGCTGCAACCGAAACAGGGCTCTGCAACGGTGGGGAGAGGGAAAAGGCTGGCGGATCATAAACAAGACGCGAGGCAGGATGGATTTCTGCGGGTCTGAGTCACGAAGGCTGAGGTCAGCAGATTGCAGGGAACGGCACGGCAGCCTGGAAGAGGCTGGAGGGGGGGTGGAAAGAGGAGGACTGCAATGTGCACTGGGTCTGTGCACTGGAGAGAGAGAACGAGAAAGGCCAGGATAGGAAAAAAGACCCTCGCCTGGACCAGCCTACTGCTGCAACCTTTGCCCACCAGATATTTTGGGACTGCAACTCTCGTCCACTGTGCCGGCTGGGAGTTGCAGTCCGAAACCCGCGATGAGCACCGAGTTGGCAAATCTGCCTTTCCGACTTGCGTGCGGGTTTCTAAAAACCTACCAAAGTCACTGTGCTCAGTGGAAGGAGAAAGACCTCTGTCCCGAAGCTGGAAAACCCACAGGTTCCTACGTTTTGCTGCAGGTTCCGAGGGATTTTGAGACCTGCCACCAAGTCTCTGCTCTAATTTTAATCTCCTAAAATGTTAGGTTCTTGAGGCTGGTTTGAAATCCCCCCTTTGTGACCTTCAGCCACTTGGGGAATCTCTATCTCTGCCAAGCCTGCCGTACAGGGGAAGTTGCAAGGATGAAACAGGAAAAATCTGTATATTTTGTTCCAAGTGTCTTGGTGGAGGCAGCCTCACCCTCTAGAAATCCCAGACGTGCGCAGGCTTGTGGAAATGGGAAATGCAATTCACACATGCTCAGAGGCCCTTTTCACAAGGCACACTGCAGCCTTAGGAGGTGATAAATTCAAGAGCCTTTCGGACAAGTTCCCGCTGCTGCCGTCTCAAAATTCATTCCCCCTCCCTCTACGCTCTGCCTCAGTTTTCCCCCAAACAAAACAAAAGTAATTGTAATGAACAGATTACGCTAGTAAGACCGCAAGAAGTTTTGTAAAGAGGGCTATTTGAAATATTGCAAGAAAGACTAGGAGGAGAGTTATTAAGGTAAAGGGACCCCTGACCATTAGGTCCAGTCGTGACCGACTCTGGGGTTGCGGCGCTCATCTTGCTTTATTGGCCGAGGGAGCCGGCGTCCAGCTTCCGGGTCATGTGGCCAGCAGGACTAAGCCGCTTCTGGCGAACCAGAGCAGCGCACGGAAACGCCGTTTACCTTCCCGCCGGAGCTGTACCTATTTATCTACTTGCACTTTGATGTGTTTTCAAACTGCTAGGTGGGCAGGAGCAGGGACCGAGCAACGGGAGCTCACCCCATCACGGGGATTCGAACCGCCGACCTTCTGATTGGCAAGTCCTAGGCTCTGTGGTTTGACCCACAGCGCCACCCGCATCCCGGGTGGAGAGTTATTAGTTAATGATAATTAAGAGTAACAGACAAATTAAGAAATGCAGAATAAGTGATAAAGAATGAAAAATCATCAGAGGAGTTGACGGAAGTCTAAAATATTGTATAAAATAAGAAGTTATGCTATATGATTGTTGGAAATGATATGTTAAAAAAACCAATAAAAATGTATATATATATATAAAAACAAAACAAAACAAAACAAAACAAAAAACCCCCGAATGTAGCAGTCACCTTCCCAAATGCAACGAGGTCTCGTTCTTTTTTGAAAAGGAAAAGGCAAGCTCTTCGTACAATTGGGAAGGGCTGAGATGGCTATTGCCACCCTGCAGCCAACAGCATGACAACCAAAACAGATCAATAAAAACGGCCGCCAAACAGCCTTATGTCTCATCAAGATAGGAAGGCCGAGACTGGAGTCAGAGCCTGTGGACACCTCACTCCAGGTCCCACACGAAACATTTAATTTGTATAGGTTCCTCTCGTTAAAGTCCATTTCTGTTTTTAATTTAGCTCCGGAAGGAAAGGGATCTATGCAACTCTAACAGATCGGCCTTGTATGCTGATGAGGCTGAACAAATACCGTATTTTTCACTCTATAAGATGCACCAGACCACAAGACGCACCTAGTTTTTGGAGGAGGAAAACAAGAAAAAAAATATTCTGAATCTCAGAAGCCAGAACAGCAAGAGGGATCACTGTGCAGTGAAAGCAGCGATCCCTCTTGCTGTTCTGGCTTCTTGGGTAGCTGCGCAGCCTGCATTCGCTCCATAAGACGCACACACATTTCCCCTTACTTTTTAGGAGGGAAAAAGTGAGTCTTATAGAGCAAAAAATACGGTAAATATTAAGAGGCTGCAAACTTGGGGTGGGGACCCTCCAGGGCAGAGAAACAAAAAAACCTGTGGTGTAGTGGGTCAGCGCATATGGCTGTTAACCAGAAGGTTGGTGGTTCGAGCCCACCCAGGGACGACTGTGGGCAGAATTCCTGCATTGTGTGGGGTTGGACTAGATGACCCTCGGGACCCCTTCCAATTCTAGGATTCTAATGTTGTATTTTAATCTTGTTTTTAAGTTGTATTTTAATCCATTGTTTTTATATCTGGTGTTAGCCGCCCTGAGCCCGGTCTTGGCTGGGGAGGGCGGGGTAAAAAAAATAATAATAATAATAATAATAATAATTTCTGAGCACTTAAAGGGCACAGAAAAGCAGTAAAAGCACTTTTACTCCTCATCCTTTTCTTCAAAAAAACCCCTAAAAACTGAGCGATTCAGAGTTCAACGAAGAACCAGACAATTCAGTCTCTGTGGAAGTATGAAGGCCAGCAGAAAGGGTTGAGGTCCCAACACTGGAAATATATTAGGGGCTAGATGCCTGGAGGGACATAGGCAGGACTCTGTTAATCCAAATTTGGCCCAGACAATCTCAAGAAGCAAACGCTTCTGGACCAGAGAGGGGGAATGTGTGGCTCTACATATATGGCTAGACTCCAGCACCCATCTTTGCTAACTACTGGCCATGGGGCTGATGGGAGTCCATACCCAACAATTGTCCTGGACAAAAAACCCCCAAGGCATCCTGTTTTCCCCCCTGCGAGAGCACAGAGGCCCGTCTTGGGCACCGTGCTCTCCCGTGATTTCAGCGCACGGAAAAAGCATGGCGTCGCAAAATGCAAGACGCGTGACTCCCACGGGAGTGCAGCCCCGGAAGATGGTGTCCAACATTCATCCCCCAAAAAGTTTTTGAGTTTCCATTGAAATGAGGCTGTATTTTAATATTTTAATGTTGTATTTTAATCTTGTTTTTAAGTTGCATTTCAATCAATTTGTTTTTATATCGGGTGTTAGCCGCCCTGAGCCCGGTCTTGGCTGGGGAGGGCGGGGTATAAATAAATTATTATTATTATTATTATTATTATTATTATTATTATTATTATTAGCAGAGCCAGTTCTGTAGCCTAGACCGCCCTGCCAATGAGACTTTTAATGTGGGCAAGGCTGTTTTGCAAGGCAACTTTCAAGCTGGGCGGACTTGGAAACCAACCCATGGGTTAAAAAATGGCGAGCCAAACGGAACGTTCTAGAAGGAGGCAACGAGCCAAAGCGAAGGCTCTAGAAAGAGGCTGAGCCGAGTCGTGGCAACCCGACGGCGGTTGCCATGGGGACCAGAGCTAGAAGCAGGGGCTAGCCTAGATCCAGGCACCGTTGCCGCGGAGACACAGATGGGGTGGTGACTGGCCTAGATACAGCTGCTGTCGCTATGGCGACCGGAAGAGGGAAGCGCGGTGGCGTTTCCATGGAGACCCATGGCAGGCCTTCATCCCCACACCTGGGGGTTAGGACTACGATTCCCAGAAGCCCGGCCAGCACCTCTTTGCCTCTTGACAGCACCCCAAGGAGAACAAGTGCAAAGGAAGGGTGATGGACCTCAGCCTTACCTACACGAGTAGACCACATCTACTGGGTGTCTGTGTCCCTGTTGCTCAAGATGCTGTCTCCAAATCCGCCTGAACAGGACCCTCTGGGTGGAAAGAAAGAGACGATGCGTTACCCCAAATTTAAACTGTTTGTTATCCCTGTGCCCAACACACCTTAAATTCTGCCGCTAGAAAAGGAATCTTCCATTAAAACCTATGCAGCTTTTTGTTTCAGTTTTGGATTTTTCTAAAAAGAGGGCAGAAATGGTCAAACGGCGGGCAGAGTTGAGGCTCTGTTGCATTTGGGGTCAGAAACAGGATCACAGCTGTCAACGCTTCCCTTTTTTTAAGGGAAATTCCCTCATTCCAAATAGGATTCCTCGCAAGAAAAGGGGAAAGTTGACAGCTATGAACAGGATCCCAGGCCTCAAGAGGGGATAGAATAGACCAGGGGTCAGCAACCAAAGGTCCATGGGCCAAAAGCGGCCCGCGGAGGTCATTTGACCGGCTGAGCGCTCACGCGCTGCGCTAAACCAATGTACGGGGACTCACTTCCACGGTGCTGGAAATTGCATCTGCGCACGTGCCGGAAATCGCGTGCTCACAAGCACACATGATCCGGCTCACGGACAGATCTCCGCGGGACCAATCCGGCCCAGGCAAGAGAAACCTTGCTGACCCCTGGAATACAGTGGTACCTCGGGATACGAACGGGATCCGTTCCGGAGCCGTGTTCGCATCCTGAAGCGAACACAACCCACGTCTGAGCGTGCGCAGGTCGCGTTTCGCCACTTCCGTGCATGCGCGAGGCATCATTTTGACCATCTGCGCATGCAGCGAAACCCAGAAGTAACACGCTCCGTTACTTCCGGGTCGCCGCGGAGCGCAACCCGAAAATACTTAACTTGAAGCACATTTATCCCGAGGTATGACTGTAGTCACTTCCTGGCACCCTCCATAAAACACACCCACCCCTCAATCTACCTGCAATTCTGATTCTATAATAATAATAATAACATTTGATTTATATCCCACCCTCCCCAGCCGAAGCCATGGTCTATTAGGCGCAGGAATGAATTCAAATACCCCCCCCCATTCATCAGAACTAGAAACTTGCTTTATTTTTTCAAGAAAACCGAGTGCGTGACTGACTAGCCTTCCTAGGAAGAAAAAGCTTACGATGGTCTGAAATTCTCAGATTCCCCTCTGTCAAATATGACAGTTAGCAGTATCAACCAGGACTTATCTTTTTAACGTGCCATTCCTGTTACTTCTGAGTGAAGAGAGATATAAGATCGAAAACAATACCCACTGCATTAAAAAAAAATTTAAATGCTTGTATTTTTCCACAGTGTCACTCTTTTTTAAAAACAACAACAACCAACACTTGCTTTCATCATCTTTCCCTGGATGCTTGCCCGCCATTTCGGCAGAAAAGTCGTATCCGTTCCTCATACGGACATCATGGAAAATTTGGCCCTATTCGCACAATTAAAAGGACTTTGTGATTAACACCTTCCAGCCCAAACTTACAGGTTTCAGGACATTTAGATTACTCAAAAAAAGAGTCATGTATAGATGTCTAATTAAATGGTAGATACTGGGAGCGAACAGCGAGAGAGGCTCCAAGCCTCAATTGCTCTTACGTTCCGCCTCCTGAAAAATCCAGAAACCTTAAAATAAAATAAAGGATGTCACCAGCTTGCCGAGTTGCTATTTCTGTTCCCCTTTGAGCACAGATTTGCGGACTTTTTTTTTTAAGGTTGTGTGGCTCAGAGCGGGGGGGGGGGGACCTCTCTTTTTCCCATCTTTCTGGCTGCCTCTTCTGCGCACATTCACGGAGGAGGGGGCACCAGTTTTCCACTACCTTTGGGCCACAAACGCCTGCCTGCCCCTCTAAAACGAAGCCCTGGATTCGAATCCAGAACCCTCAGAAGGCCTTGCTGCGGCTCCAGCAGGCCTGGGTTCAATTCTGCTTGTAAACACAAGATGCAAATTCCCTTTTGCTGTGTGATCTCAAGCCCTGGCTCCCTTCCCACCAGACTCCGCTTTCAGAAAACCCCAAAGTCAAGGGATATCCTAGGTGCTGCCTACCCCACAGATTTCCCCTCCCGGAATCGAAGCCCCCACCATGTTTCCCCGCGAGCGGTGGGGAGAGCTGAGCCTCCGAGCTTGCTCAGCCAAAGGAACCCGATCCTCTGCCATTTCCGGAGAGCCTGTGATCTCAGCAGCCTCGTGTTAACATCCTCCTCCCCAGCTTAGCACTAGAAGAATGCAGAAAGGCAGGCGGGCAGAGAGGGCGGAAGAGGAGAGAGGCCACAGCCTCCAAAAGTCACTGCCTGACGGGTCCAGGCAGCGTAACCTTTGCTGCGCAACAGGGCCGGGGCGCGAGGATCGCTGCGATTGGCCTGCGTCAGCCTGTGTGTGTCAGGATCTGTTGTCGGGTGTTACAGATGGGCGTAACTGAAGACGGGGACGCGATCCGCCACACCGACACCGCAGCTTCAGGTGTCTTGGGTGTCAGCTGCAGAAGGGGGGGCCTGCGTGGGCACGCATTCCTCAGCAAAACGGCGGGTGTTGTGTGTCCATCGGGAGCAAGCCAGACGCTGTTTCGGTATGTGGGTCAGGCCGAGAGGCCGAGAGGCGTCACCCAATTGGATTCGGCCTGCGCGGGGAGCCCTCAGCAGCGGCGAAGGAAGCGGGGTTTCTACGCCTGGTGCGCAGCGGGCATGATGTGATTCCAGAACGGGCAATGTGGTCGGGAGCGCGAGATGACGACGGCCAGGATGGAGTGTGTCCGGCACAGGCAGATATCTCGGAGGGTGCGCTTCTTGGGGACTGGAGGAAAAGAGGAGGGTGACAGGGTTGCATCCTGCGTCGATTTTGCAGGAAATCTGGAATATAAGGGCGCTATGGTTTTCCCAGTAGTGACGTATGGAAGTGAGAGCCGGACCATCAAGAAGGCTGATCGCCGAAGAATGGATGCTTTTGAATTATGGTGCTGGAGGAGACTCTTGAGAGTCCCATGGACTGCAAGAAGATCAAACTTCTCCATTCTGAAGGAAATCAGCCCTGAATGCTCACGGGAAGGACAGATCCTGAAGCCGAGGCTCCAAGACTTTGGCCACCTCATGAGAAGAGAAGACTCCCTGGAAAAGACCCTGATGTTGGGAAAGATGGAGGGCACAAGGTGAAGGGGACGACGGAGGACGAGATGGTGGGACAGTGTTCTCGAAGTACCAGCATGAGTTTGACCAAACTGCGGGAGGCAGTGGAAGACAGGAGGGCCTGGCGTGCTCTGGTCCAGGGGGTCATGAAGAGGCAGACACGATTAAACGACTCAACAACAACAACAATGTGCGTCATCGGAGCAACACGAAAAGAAGGCCGTCGGGGGTTTTTCTGCGCATCTTACAGCCACAGTCTGATGGGAGAGGTCTTAGATCTGAGTTCATTGCAGCGCAGAGGGCAAGGGTTCAGAAAAAGTGGTAGGGCACGTGCTATGTGGTGCAGTCGGGTACAATTCTGGCGAAGCGACGAGTCACATCGGGGTGTGTGTGTGAAAAAACAAGTATGCATCTGCATGCATCAGAGGGGAAATCGCAAGGGGTGCAAGTCAGCTGTAGTTAAGGTGGAAGGGGGGTGTTGATGGACAGCCGCCTCTGCGTCAGGCAGAGTCCAGTCGAAGCTGTTCTGGAGCTAATAAATAACTCTGACGGATTATTTTTCCCTTTCAAGCAAAGACAAGAAAATCGCTTCCAAAGCCAAAGGAAGTAGCCGAGCGCTCGCAAATCATTAACCGAAAAACAACACCAGGCGTCGTCATAGAAACACCAAACACTTCGGCTCTTTTTCCTCGGCAAAGGAAGTCGCTTACGACCCTGACAGCGGCTTGGAGTCCTCCTGGGCAAAAGCCAACAGCTCTGAGAGGGGGCAGGAGAGTTCCTGCTGCATAGCTGCAAGATCTCGAACTCAGGTCCTGGAAAAAGGGATCAAAGGCTCCTGAGGATATTGACACAACTGCTTATTTGGGGGGAAATAAAAGCAAATGTCAGCGCAGACTCATGACAACCATGGCCAATGGGTACGTCAGCAAGCAAAGGCACGGAAGCGATTCTGAGCTGTGAATGGCCAAGTCGGCTATGACGTCATGCCAGTTCCTTCGTCTCCTCCAACGCAACACGCCACCACGGCCCCCGGTTTTTTACAGAGACTAAAGAAAAACTGCCTAAGAAAACACACTCGGCGTTCTACGGATGCACGCAGTGTTAAAAATAAAAACCGCAGCAAAAGGCCTGTTTGCACATTTCCACAGGCAATCCCCACAGCGAACCCAGTGCAAAGAATGTGCTAAAAATGAGAAAAAAAACACACAGGGATTGCAAGATCTCTCTGCCACAAAAAGTCTCCCGAGCTCCCGCAGATGATGCTGTCACGTACTGGAATGTCTTAAGGTGCTTGCAGGACCCAAAATCTTCACCCAGCGGCAATGCGCGAGTACAGCACATAAGGATGCAGAAACATGCATTCCATCATTGGGCGTGGGAATAAAGGGAAGGAGAGTGACCCAGAAACGCTCTGAAAGGCGACTGGGATTGAGCTACAACCTGCTGCCTTGTGCAACTAGATGGTGGGGAGGGCATGGGCCTTGAAATAGCAAGGACCACACCCCCCTCAAGCAAAATCATCGCCTCCCAGTCCCTCCAGACCAGGTTAAAGGTAAAGGTAAAGGGACCCCTGACCGTTAGGTCCAGTCGTGGCCGACTCTGGGGTTGCGGCACTCATCTCACTTTACTGGCCGAGGGAGCCGGCGTACAGTTTCCGGGTCATGTGGCCAGCATGACTAAGCCGCTTCTGGCGAACCAGAGCAGCCCACGGAAACGCCGTTTACCTTCCCGCCAGAGCGGTACCTATTTATCTACTTGCACTTTGACGTGCTTTCAAACTGCTAGGTTGGCAGGAGCAGGGACCGAGCAACGGGAGCTCACCCCGTCGCGGGGATTCGAACCACCGACCTTCTGATCGGCAAGCCCTAGGCTCTGTGGTTTAGACCACAGCGCCACCTGCGTCCCTAAGGGGTGTGTAAGTAAAGGTAAAGGGACACCTGACCATTGGGTCCAGTCGTGGCCGACTCTGGGGTTGCGGCGCTCATCTCGCTTTACTGGCCAAGGGAGCCGGCGTGCAGCTTCCGGCTCATGTGGCCAGCATGACTAAGCCGCTTTTGGCGAACCAGAGCAGCGCACGGAAGCACCATTTACCTTCCCGCCGGAGCGGTACCTATTGAGCTGCTAGGTTGGCAGGAGCAGGGACCGAGCAACGGGAGCTCACCCAGTTGCGGGGATTCGAACCGCCGACCTTCTGACCGGCAAGTCCTAGGCTCTGTGGTTTAACCCACAGCACCACCCACGCCACCAGGTTACACACACCCCTGGCCAAAATACACAACTCAATAATGCACTGAATTGCCCCTCTGAACAACTGAATATGCACAATTAACAACTATACCTATAAGTAACAAAGCATGTTGTTTTGTAAACAGAGGTTGTTTTTAAAGTCAAAAAACGACTTGTTCTGTTCTGTATTTTTGGGTGGCAGCCAATGCTTCTTCGAATACGCCTGCTGAAATTAAGGGACAATGCTAACTTGGGTTTAGTAATTTATATGGGGCTACTCAGAGTAGGACGACCCATCGTCTTTCTCCTCTTGTACTTTGAGAGCCACTAAAGCGGCGCGACAATATTTAAAGGTAAACACACAAACAGAAGTTCCAAAGCAATGTTGTTGTTGTTTTTCATTTCATTTCTATACCCCTGTACAGTTTAACGAAACGATCTCAAAGCGGTTTGCAGCACGTTAAACTTCAAATAAAACCATCTGGAATAAAGCAACTGCAAGCGTCAAGGAAAATATTCCAGATCTTTTCTATGTGGCGTTTTGCTTTCCCCATATTCATTTACCTACTTAATTTATAGAGCTGCCCCATAGCAGAAGGACTATAGGAAGGCAGTGGGGTGTAGTGGTTAGAGCAGGAATCAGCAAACGTTTTCAGCAGGGGGCCGGTCCACTGTCCCTCAGACCTTGTGGGGGGGCCAGACTATATTTTGAAAAAATAAATAAAAATGAACGAATTCCTATGCCCCACAAATAACCCAGAGATGCATTTTAAATAAAAGGACACATTCTACTAATGTAAAATCACGCTGATTCACGGACTGTCCGCTGGCTGGATTGAGAAGGCGATTGGGCCTTAGTTTGCCTTCCCATGGGTTAGACTGCAGGCTTCCTCAACCTCGGCCCTCCAGATGTTTTTTGGACTACAACTCCCACAAACCCTAGCTAGCAGGACCAGTGGTCAGGGATGATGGGAACTGTAGTTTCCAAACATCTGGAGGGCCAAGGTTGAGGAAGCCAGGGTTAGTGTGTCGGACTGGGACCTGGGAGATGAGGGTTCAAATCCCCACTCAGTCATGAGGCTCCCTGGGGGACCTGGGACTCAGTCGCAGCCTCTTCGCCTACCTTTCAGGGTCGTTGTGGGGCTTAACTTAGCTGGGGGGGGAGCAGTAAATGAGTTCTTCTGCTCACCTGTTTAAGAAAGCTGGAGGGGCCAGCCAGAGGGGGAGGTCCGCCGCCAACTTAGCGCCTAGAGATCTCCACGGGGCTGCAATTGGACCCACACCAGTCACAGAACACGCCCAGCCGATCACTAACACAGGTTGTGGGGCACTGTCTCCCACAGTCTCCCCAAAACCTCCGCCCTACGGGAAAGCCTGCAAGCAGATTCGCCATTCTGAACCCCAAACCTGTGCTACTTTTATTGCTGTTAACCGCTCTGAGTCCAGCTTCGTCTGGGGAGGGCGGGATATGAAGAAATTATTATTATTATTATTATTATTATTATTATTATTAAGCCCTCCCAACTCTCTCCTCGGAAAAAAACACACGGATGACAGGAAGGGTGTGTGTGTGAAACCCAACCCTTTAAAATAACTTTTTAAGAGTAACCAGGGTGTGCGTGTGGAAGAGCGGCACACCCCTGGCGGGGAACGATCTTGCATTGCGGGGGGCTGGACTAGATGACCCCGCTGGGCCCCCAAATTCCATCCCTGCAGCGATTCTGGGAATAGGCGCTCCGATTCAGAGGCACGTAGATCTAGGACCACGGAGGATGGTTCAGGAGACCTTATCTGAATCAAATCCTCTTAACACCCAGCTTTAAAGTTGCGTTCCATGTCCTAGACCTAGGCCAGGGGTCTGCAACCTTTAAGACAAAAAGAGCCACTTGGACCCGTTTCCGAACAAAAAAAAAACTGGGAGCCGCAAAACCATTGCGACATTTAAAACAAATATATCTCCGGAGCCGCGATCTGACAGCGGGCAGGAAGGTGACGTCGGGACGGTGCGTGACTAATGCGACGTCACAGCCAGTACAGCGCCCGCCACAGTGGGGAGTGTCGGGGCGCACAATGCGCCTCCTCCCCTCGCTAGTATCCGCCCCGGAGCCGCGGCAAAGGTGTAAAAGAGCCACATGCGGCTCCGGAGCCACGGGTTGCTGACCCCTGTGGACGGTCCGGGAATCAGCTTGTTTTTACATGAGCAGAATGTGTCCTTTTATTTAAAATGCATCTCTGGGTTATTTGTGGGGCCTGCCTGGTGTTTCGACACGAGTAGCACGTGTCCTTTTATTTAAAATGCATCTCTGGGTTATTTGTGGGGCATAGGAATGTGTTCATTTCCTCCCCCCAAAAATATAGTCCGGCCCCCCACAAGGTCCGAGGGACGGTGGACCGGCCCCCGGCTGAGAAAGGTTGCTGACTCCTGTCCTAGGAGCCCGTCATGCAAGGTTTCGGTTTTGAGCGAAGGCCTGGAAGACACACACACACACCCCGGGCTGGGATGCTTTGCCTGGAAGAATGACCTTTTCAGAGAGAGAGGCAGAGCGTGTTTCTGCTAGCTAGCAAACAAGCAAGGAAGGGGGAGGTCGGCCGGCCTGCCTCACACAGCAACGAGGCAGCATGAAACCGACGGCCGAGGAGAAAAACAACAAGAAGCCAGCCCTAACAATGGAGATCAGAAGGAGGCTGGAAGCCCTCCAGGGAAAACATAGCCCAGCCCCAGTGTCCCCTGGAAATGCCCTCCGCCGGGGCTGGCACCGGGACAAGATGGCTGCTGGCCGGCCACGCAGGGGCCCCTCCGTGTAAAACGGAAACCACGGGCAAATCTTGTGGTACCCGGCCTATTCTCCCTACAGAAATATTCACACACGCACACTGGTTAGATTGCCGGGTTCCCTAATCTGGGTTTAGGCCTTGTTTTGCTCCAAAATACTGGTGTTAAAAGAGATAGTATGTGGAAATGAGAGAGCAATGCGGCCCTCCAATTCCTCCTATGTGGCCCACAAAACGCTCCCAGGCCACACCCCCTTTCTCCAGGCCACGCCCCTCGCCAGGCCAGCTTCCTTGGCACCCATTCTTTATACCCCGCCCATCTGGCTGAGTTTCCCCAGCGGCTTCCAATCAAGTGTTAAAAACACTTTGAGGTTGAATCCTGACAAGACAGAAGTACTGTTTTTGGGGGACAGGAGGTGGGCACGTGTGGAGGACTCCCTGGTCCTGAATGGGGCAACTGTGCCCCTGAAGGACCAGGTGCGCAGCCTGGGAGTCATTCTGGACTCACAGCTGTCCATGGAGACGCAGGTCAGTTCTGTGTCCAGGGCAGCTGTCTGCCAGCTCCATCTGGTGTGCAGGATGAGACCCTCCCTGCCTGCGGACTGTCTGGCCAGAGTGGTGCATGCTCTGGTTATCTCCCGCTTGGACTACTGCAATGCGCTCTACAGGGGCTACCTTTGAAGGTGACCCGGAAACTGCAATTAATCCAGAATGTGGCAGCCAGACTGGTGACTGGGAGCGGCCACTGGGACCACATAACACCGGTCGTGAGAGATCTACATTGGCTCCCTCATTGCGAGAAGTGAGGTTACAGGGAACCAGGCAGAGGGCCTTCTCAGTGGTGGCGCCCACCCTGTGGAACGCCCTCCCTTCAGATGTGAAGGAAATAAGCAGCTATCTTCTCTTTAAAAGACATCTGAAGGCAGCCCTGTTTAGGGAAGTTTTTAATATTTAATGCTGTATTGTTTTTAACACTCGATTGGGAGCCACACAGAGTGGCTGGGGAAACTCAGCCAGATGGGCAGGGTATAAATAATAAATTATTATTATTATTATTATTATCCTTTCCCCGGTGTAGCGGCTAAGTGACCGACTGAGCTACGATCAGCAGGTCCTGGGTTCAAATCTCGCCTCTTCCGTGAACTCAGAGGCCAACCGTTCTCAGTCCTCCCACCTGCAAAATGGGGGCGGGCGGGGAAGAGCAAGAACAGTGACTTACCTCACCTGCGCATCCATTTGGTTCAGCAACATTTTCATGAGAATTATAGCACGGTTCTTTATTTTTAAAGCATACCTTTCCCTGTTTTAAAAGGATTGGGGTTTTTTAATGTTAAAGGTCCAAAACGCATTGAACCCGAAGGGCTGAAAAGGGGCTGCGTCATGTCTGTTTATTTTCTAGCTCAGTCGGTTCAGCATGAGACTCTTAATCTCAGGGTTGTGGGTTCGAGCCTCACGCTGGGCCAAAATGTCCTGCATTGCTGCGGGTTGGTCTAGATGACCCTCGGGGGGTCCCTTCCAGCTCTGGAAATCTGCGATTCATTGCCTCTAGATCCCACCTTTCCTTCAAAGAGCTCAAGCTGGCACGGACAGCTCTTCGCCGTGACATCCTCGCCACGACCCTGAGAGACAGGCTGGCCCTGAGAGCGAGGGACGGGACCAAGGTCACCCAGCCAGCTTCACAACCGAGCTGCCTGGCTTTGGCAAACCTTTCATTGTCGCTTGGCCTGCGCCAGCCCTGCGGTCCTCCGGGGAGTGGGCCGCACTCGGGCCGGGAGCAGGGCTGCAGGGGCCACACGCTTCCCCCAGAAAAAAATTCTCAACAACATGCATCTTAAAAACAGGTCCCTTCGACCGAAGGAAAAGCAAGCAGCTGTTTTCTACCCTTTGCCGATAAAAAGCTAACCCGAAGTGCTTTTTTTTAAATGGGGGGGTATAGATTTGCACGCAATCTTCCCCCGTCGCATCGCAGACCCTTCAAAAGCTCACAGACAAACACAGAAGCTGGGGTCTCCACAGCACTGCCTCGAGGGACGGGGCCATTTTCGCGCTGTGGTTCCTCGCCGCCCAACATGCTCAGATCACGGAGAAGCCCACACAGTATCTCAAGGCCCCCCAGGCGTTTCTCACAATGGCATTCGGGGCACCCGGAATCACACTGTGCATCGGCAGCAGGGGAGAAACGCACACCGTCGTTCGTAAGCATGTGCGCACCAAAGAGCTCTGCGCACCCAGAAAACAAAACAAGCCTCTGGGCTATGCGCTCAATTCGGACATCCGCTCACAGCCACGTTCTCCCATGCGTGCGCAGAGGGCTGCTCTTACGGGATCAAGAGGGAACACGCATCCTCATACATGTCACCTCATGCGCCCGTGCGTTTGACGGCCCCTCGCTCTCCACCTGCGCGGAGCCCCGGGTGCGAAAGTGACAGCCAGGTCGTGAGAGGGGAAAGCGTTAAGTGAGGGGTGCAGGCAGGGGCATCGAATTGGGGCAGAGAAGAGCGTTAAGGGATTGCGGCAGGAGAGGGTGCCGGGGAGAGGGGAACGCGGGTGAGGACGATGCTTACAAACAGTGTGGTGCAGTGGTTAGAGCAGGCTTCCTCAGCCTCGGCCCTCCAGATGTTTTGAAACTACAATTCCCATCATCCCTGACCACGGGTCCTGCTAGCTAGGGATCATGGGTGTTGTAGGCCAAAAACATCTGGAGGGCCCAGGTTGAGGAAGTCTGGGTTATAGAGTGTCGGGCTAAGAGGCTTGGGTTCAAATCCTTTTCCCCCTGCCACCCACAGCCACGAAGCGACCTTGGGGCCAACCACTGCCTCTCTCAGCCTACCCTACCTTGCAGGGGTGAATAAACTGGGGATGTGAAGGACCACACTCTTGAGCTCCTTGGAAGGCAAGGTGGGGTGGAAAAAAGGAATAAACAAGAGAAATAAACGTGTGAGAATGAGGGCAGGGGGGCGTGTCGAGAGGGTGTGTTCGGTGGCAGAGAGAAGATTTGAGAGGGGAAGAATTTTGTGTGTTTATGTGCAAGCTTGCGTGCAAGATGTGGCCGTGTGTGTGTGTGTGTGTGTGTGGAAATAACGTTGCAAAGATGGCCTAAGGGATATGGGGTTATTAAAGCCAGTTTGAGAGGGGTGAAATCCCCAGCCTCAGGGTTTCGTAACGGCGCCGCTAAAAGGAATCTGGATGTGACCCTGATCTTCCCTCCCACTTTACTTCCCGCTGAAAGCTGAGATCGGCCACCAAAAATGTGAAGTATTTTCCCCAACCCCGGCTGAGGAGGGCATGACAGCATACGGAAGTGTGCCGGTCCTGTGTTTTCGGCTGAGGAGGAACAAACGGCAGGCCGGCAGCCTTGCCCTAAGCCGGCTGCAAACAGCAGGGCCCTCACACAAGCCAGACATCCCTGCAGTGCGGTATAGTGGTTAGAGACGGCAGGGTTCAACTCCCTACTCAGTCGCAAGGCTCACTACTGGGTGACCTTGGGACAGTTCCCGGCTCTCGGGCTAGCCTACCTCATAAGGTTGTTGTGAGGACAAAAGGGAGGGGACAGCGTATGCCACCTTGGAGGAAAGATGGGATATAAATCAATTAATAATGTGAATGTAGGATGACGATGTTAGCTAGGTTTGGCGTGACACCCAGTGTGGATTTTCTGCCTCAGGCCTAGAAAAATGTCCTGTGTGGCTCGGAGGTTTCTGTTTAGGATTTGGCACTTATTTATGTCCCCGTCGCAGGAGTGGGATAGAGTTAAGACACTGAGAGAAATTCGCTATAGGGAGAAAGGCATATAGGGGAAACAGGTCTGAGGCACGTACAAGAAAGGCAGGCGAAGCGAGAGGGGATCACAGGAAACAGAAAGGGTCTGTGGTGCACACAAGGTTCTGACAGGCGTGTGGCGAAGTTGTCGTGAGGAACGGCAGCGGATATCGACACGCACATCCAAGACACGCAAGATGTCTTTTGGAGGTAAATAAACAGGAGATTACGAAGGAAGGAGTCCGTGCCATTAACGGGCAATGGTTTTTTCCATCGAGTGGTAGGCTCGGAAGGGACCCCCCCTGAGGGTCTTCGAGCCCAACCTCCTGCAATGCAGGGATCGCAGGGATATAAGGCAAGCTCTGCCAACCTGGTGCCCTCCGTGTGTTTGAGGGCAGCGATGGGGCTGGTGGGAGCCGTCGTCCAAAACATCCGGGAGGCACCAGACTGGCAGGTTTGAGAAACGGCACATGGGCATGTACGTGAGGCAGGGTGCTCAGCACCTCAAAAGCAGGGGCCACAGCCGCTGTGGGCGATCGGCGGGAGGCAAACTTCTGAGGTGCGCCAAGCCTGCGCTGTTTTGGGCATGGGATAAGCGCCACTAGGTCAGGAAAACAACCAGAGCTTCGGCCACGTTAACCCTCAGCGTTCCCTTGCGGAAGAGGGAACCAAGGAGAAGAAGATCAGGCGAAGAGATGAAAGCTGAACAGGATCCCTTCTCCTAATGAGGTCACCCTCACAGCCTCTCCCCCCCTTCCCCACTGCCCTTCATGTTAGGGTGGGGGGTGCTGTTAGAGGCTGCCCACCCCCATCCCCAAACACAGATCCTCTTCAAAACTCGCCCTTTCCCAATATTTTTGTATTTCTGCTGCCATGGAAAACATGCAAGCGGAGATCCCTTTTCTAACCCCAAATATCCAGGTCGCCCCGAACACTTCCAAAAAAGGATCCCCCGCTGAGATCCATCGCCTCTCTGTTAACCCATGAGAAGCACAGGAGTGCGTGAGCCTCGCGCGATCCCAGGACCCAAAGAGAATCGCCCCAAGCCGCCGGAGGCACCCGCCGCTGCTCGCCTCCACAAGCGCGCAGCTCCGCGCGCTAGGATCCCAGATCCAGTGTATAGGATGGCTGCAGAAAAGCCGCGGAATCCTCATCTCTCTCTCTATATGTACCTATATCAGGGTGGCTTCCAGAATTAAAATTAAGGAAGCCAGATCAGCCACCACCACAGGCCCGACTTTTCGACCCAGGGGTCCCAAAAATATCCCGGATCGCCCAGGGGTCATTTCCGGAATAGGTGTTTGGGGAGGGGGTCTCTTCAAGGTCTCCCGTCCACTCCCCCCGCCCCCCTCCAAAAGAGAGAGATCGAAACATGCAATCCGTGGCGAGGATGCTAAATGCGCAGCTTCGCCTCCTCTTTCGCTACACCCCTCCCCTCCCCAAAAAAATAACACCCAGCCAAGCAGGCTCTCCGCACCCCCCTTCCTAAATCCCCGGGCCGACCTCTTTCCGAGCGCCTGGAGAGTTCTAGAACCCCCGCCCTGGCAGGAGGGAAAAACTTTCCCTTTCTTGGGTGGCTGGGTGTGTGGTTTTTTTTGGGGGGTGTCCCTCGGTTCTTTCCCGGGACTGGCGCGGACCCCCTCCCTCCCCTTCCCAGCTCCGGAGATCCGGATGCCCAATTACGCAGCTGGCTGGAGGGCGGCGCGCCCCGGCGGCGATCTCGGGCGCGCGTCGCGGGGAGAAAAGTGGCGTCGCCGCGCGCCCCGTTTGCACACCCCCCTCCCCAAACACCGCGGGGCCCCGGGACGATCCCCTACCGATCCCAACCCCACCCCAGTTGGCGATCCCGGAGACTAGGCCGCCTTGGAAAAGGGCGCTCGGTTGGGGCCCTCACCAAGCGCCCGCGGGCAGCCTCGCCCTTGTTTTGCGCGCCCGGAGGGGAGCGCACGGGACCGGGGCGCCTCCGGTGGGAGGCTCCCCACGTCGGGTCGGCGAGCCCCCTACCTGCGTGTCTGCTGCTGCTGCTGCAGCGGCGCGGCGAGGCAGCCCAAGATGGAGTCTTCTCGCCCCGCCATTCATGCTCGCAGCCTGCTTGGCACGGGACGCCGCTCCCCTCGCTCGCCGCCGCCGCCGCTCCGCGCTCTCCTCTGGCTCCGGCGCTCCGCTCAGCCCGCCGCCGCCGCCGCTGCCTCCCCCTCTGACATCATCGCAGAGGCTCAGCCGATTCGGAGCCGCTCAGCCACGGCAGCCGCACGCAACTTCGCCCTCGGTGCGGGCCAGCCCTCCGGCCCCCGGGACGCCCCCCAGGAGAAGCCAGCCAGCAAGAGCGCACGTCGGGAGCGCTTGCCTACATCCCGGGGCTGGGGAGGTTGCGGTGCGGGGTGGGAAGGTGGGAAGAGAAGGCACGCGCTTTCCAATTACGCGTAACGCTGGTTTTCTCCTCTCTCTCTCTCCCCGCGTTGGTCCCTGCAAAGGGAGGCGCCTCTGATCATGTGCAGAGAGCCTTTTAGCCCTTGCGCAACGCACTCCGGGGATAGCAGCGGAATAAAGGGGAGAGCGGGGCGGGAGATGCTGTGAAACGGGGCTTGCTCGGAAGTAGGTAGGGTTTCTGGAAGGGGTCACCGAACATGTGCAGAGTGCCTTTTCGCCCCCCGCCTTGCGCGTAACCACAACGCATAAACCTCTCCGGGGATGCCAGCAAAAGAAGAGGGAGAGGGGGCAAATATACTGTGAATTGGACCTTACTCGCAAGCAAGTAGGGCTTTCTGGGAGGTGCCACTGAGCATGTACAGAGTTCCTTTCCGCCTTCACGCGTCAGGACGACACAAACTCTCGCCTGGCGTATGCGGATACAAAGGAAAAGAAACGGGGGTGAGTGTAAAATTGGGCTTTCTCGGAAGTAAGTCGGATTTGTGGAAGGTGCCACCCCTTCTCTAGGGCAGCCCTCTGCAAATAGGGCCCCTTGGGGCTGTATCCAAGGCCAGTTCTACTCAGATGGGCACACTGAAATTAATAGGGGCAATGGGTCTGCCCCAAGGAAAACTCAGCCAGCTGCACAACCTTCAATGGGGCTTCTTCCCAGGTATAAAACTGCAGCCTCACAGTGCAAACGTCTGACAAGGGAAATTCAGAGGTCAAAGTCTATCATTATTATTATTAATTGCATTTATATATCCCACATTTTTTCATGCAAGAAGCTCAAGGCGTTGGCCAAGTTTCTCCCCTCCTCATTTAATAACCCCACAACAACAGTAGGTTGGACAGACTGAGAGACACTGATGTCATGACCCACAAGTGATTTGAACCCTGGATCTCCTAGGTCCTGGTCCGACACCCTAACCAACTATACCACAATGATCTACCCTCAAGCATGGATTTATTCTTATCCTTGTTTTATTCTTATCCCAGCTGTACATAAGCTGTGATTGAGCGGGTGAGACCGTGTGGGTCAGAAAGGCAGTTTCTGCATGTGGTGTAGAGGGTAGTGAGGGTCAAGGGAGCCCACCTCAGAAGGAAAACTCTGATCCTCCGCCTCCTCTGCCTTGCGGATATCTTCGGGAGAAGAAAAGTCTCAGGGCTAAGCCCCACACAGATCTGGAGCGGAGTCCCTAAAATGGTTGGATGGCGCCTTGTAAGCCTCCTTCTGGCAACTCCTGCAGCCAAGCTGGTGTCAAACATCTTGCTCTGCTTTGGACCACATCAGGGGGGTCATGTCGTCTGAGCAGCCCAGGACCTCCACACACACTGCCCAGGCTTGTGCCCCAGAGGTCATTTCAGTGCTGCTAATGCAGCGGTTTGGCCTCACCCCTGAAGGCACACTCCATTGTTTCTGGAGACAGACAGATGCCAGCAACAGAGGGGAGCAAAATAATAATTAATAATAATAATAATAATTTTTATTTATACTCTGCCCTCCCCAGTCAAGACCGGGCTCAGGGCGGCTAACAGCAGGTATCAAAACAATTGATTAATTGACAATTTCAATTAACAATTGAAAAGGCACTCTGCATATGTTTTAAGGCACTCTAGTCCTCATTTGGAAGGGACACGGATGGCACTGTGGGTTAAGCCACAGAGCCTAGGGCTTGCCGATCAGAAGGTCAGCGGTTCGAATCCCCGCGACGGGGTGAGCTCCCGTTGCTCAGTCCCTGCTCCTGCCAACCTAGCAGTCTGAAAGCACGTCCAAGTGCAAGTAGATAAATAGGTACCGCTCTGGCGGGAAGGTAAACGGCGCTTCCATGCGCTGCTCTGGTTCGCCAGAAGCGGCTTAGTCATGCTGGCCGCATGACCCGGAAACTGTACGCCGGCTCCCTCGGCCAGTAAAGCGAGATGAGCGCCGCAACCCCAGAGTCAGCCACGACTGGACCTAATGGTCAGGGGTCCCTTTACCTTGACCTAGTCCTCATTTGAATATTCCAGGCCTTAGTAGCAGAGATTCCAGAGGCCTACAGACTGGAGCGAATTAACTCCAGGACTGTTAACTGCTCCGATCTCGGGTGGTTTCTTGCTAGACAGCCTCTCCAACAGCTTCCCCCAGCCTAGTGCTCTGCAGATGTTTTGGCCCACACCTCCGGCAAGCGCAGCCTTATATTCGAAAAACACCTGGAGGGCATTGGGTTGCAGAGCCCTGGAGGGGAGGGGAAAAACCATTCCCGCCCCCATCATCCCATATAACTTCCTTTGGGGTAGACCTGTTCATCCCTTGCAGGTGCCTGGTGTCATCCAGCCTGGGGGAAGAGGCCCTGAGGGCATGATGTCATAGTGGCACAGGCAGACAGGATGACATCACAATTTCTGCCGGGCGAGGGAGCCAGGCTAGGCGATTGAGGCGGCGGCTTGTTTGTACGGTGGCTGTGAAGGTAGGTGGGGGCTGGGAGAGTTGGGGAGGGCTCCTTCTACAACCCCCGCTCTTTCCTCTTCTACATCCCCTGCTCCCCGAGTCACGGGGAAAAAGAGGACTTCAGAAATGGTGACTCTCTCCCCCCACCCCACCCCACTTTGTGGCACTAGATTCCCACCCTTCTAGAACTCAGGCATGGAACCCAGACGCCCTGACGACAGATACTGCAGGAAGGGAGGTAGGGTCAGATCAGTGTGGGAGAGAAAGGGGGTGGCTTATAGTCACACCCCACCACTCCTGACCCTAGGAAACATGGAGGAAGAGTTCCGATTCTTTGGTTTACCTGCGTTGAATTTAGAACTCCCCGGGTTCAGACTCGGACGGCACGTCAAGGTAGGGCTGGGGGTGAAACCCGTCTGAAATCAGGAAAAACACTGAGCTGGACAGACCATTGTGGTCCAATTTGGGCAGCTTTCTGTGTGAGAAAATCCCTGCCCCGTGCAAGATCACAGGATGCCCTTGGCTCACTGCTCCCCAAACCCACCCACCCCAGGAATATTAGGCAGGTGGTAGAGCTCCAGAAAGGAAAGGTAGACTTCAAAGAGAACCACGGGGTATGTGGTGTAATGGCTAGAGTGTCGGACTGCGGCTTGGGAGACCAAGGTTCGAACCATAGCTGTCAAGTGTCCCTTATTTGGCGGGACAGTCCCTTATCCCAGCGCCATGTCCCGCTGCTGTCCCTTATTGATGAGGCTTCATTTGGCTGCTGGCTGGGCTTTCTGCCTTTGGCTCAGAGGGGCTCAGAAGTTGAACATACCTGTGCCTGGAAAATCCCTTATTTTGGCTGCTGATCCCTTATTTTCGAGGCTGCTGCTCCCTTATTTTCAAAACTGTAAGTTGACAGCTATGGTTCAAACCCTTCTTGGCTGTGAAGCTCAGTGGGTGACCGCGGGGCCTGCCTCCCGTCTCTCAATCTAACGTACGTCACAAAGTGGCACGGGGTTCGGCTAAATGACTCGTGGGGTCCCTTCCAACTCTACAATTCTATGAATCTGAAGTCGCTGTTGTGATAAAATGGGGATGAGAAGGATGCACCCCACCTTGAGATAAGGTGCTATGTAAATGGAATGAATAAAGAAAACTGTATTAAGAACAAAAACAGATTATAAGGGGAAACTAGGAAGAAGGCAGGACGTGGGTGGCGCTGTGGGTTAAACCACAGAGCCTAGGGCTTGCCGATCAGAAGGTCGGCAGTTCAAATCCCCGCAACAGGGTGAGCTCCCGTTGCTCGGTCCCTGCTCCTGCCAACCTAGCAGTTCGAAAGCACGTCAAAGTGCAAGTAGATAAATAGGTACCGCTCCGGCGGGAAGGTAAACAGCGTTTCCATGCGCTGCTCTGGTTCGCCAGAAGCGGCTTAGTCATGCTGGCCACATGACCCAGAAGCTGTACACCGGCTCCCTCGGCCAGTAAAGCGAGATGAGCGCCGCAACCCCAGAGTCGGCCATGACTGGACCTAATGGTCAGGGGTCCCTTTACCTTTAGGAAGAGGGCAGATAGACAACGGGGGGGTCATGGATGGAAAGCAAATGAGAAAGCTGGTCCAATGGTCCAGTCCTAGCCCAGGCACAGCATTGGGGAACCACCTATCCCAAAAACCCTGGCAGGGTGCAGTTAAACTGTGGAACTCCCTGCCACAGTAGGCAGTGATGGCCACCCATCAGAAGAGAAATGGGCAAGTTAGGAGCAAGGCTATTTTGGGGAGCTACTAGCAACAGTGCCTATGCCCTGTCTCCACAACTGAAGGCAGCCGTGCTTCTGAATGCCAGCTGCTGGAAAACGCAGAGAGGCAGAGCACTCCTGCGTTAGAATCCTGATTGCAGGTTTCCCACAGCGTAGCCACTGTGGGAACAGGATGCTGGACTGAATGGGTCATTGGCTTGACCCAAAGGCCGTTCTTATGCTCTTAACATTTGAAAACGGTCTTCTCAACTCTCCTTACTACTACAAAAAAGTTTTAATTTCACATTCGGTTCCAGTGGCATAGCGTGGGTTGCCTGGGCCTGGGGCAAGGCAAGGATCCTCAGCGCTGCCTGCCAATAGGCTGAAACCAAGGGGCAATAGCTCTGCGACCTACACAAGTGGCAGCTGCAGCACCTGTGAGCATTGGGCACAGCGGAGAAGAGGAGGAGGGATTGTTTGGGAGCGGGTATCTATCCAAAGCCCATGCAGAGGGTGCCCTCGCATCCGACTGTTGCCCAAATCCACTCCCCGCACAAACATTGGGAGATTTTCTGTGTGAGAGGGAGGGCGTGCTATTTTTCAGTTATTATTTAGTTATTATTTTTAGTTACTATTACAATTGTCTCTTTTTTCCTTTGTAAATTTTGTGCCCCTAAGATCTTTGCAACTATGCCCATGGCTACGCCACTGCTTGGTTAACTAAGACTCCATTTCTGACACTCACTGCCCATCTGAGTAGACAAGCAGGCAGGTTTGAATATTCATCAGACTACAAGTTAGGGAATCTGTCTTAAAACCCTAAACTGATACTTGGGAAATAAGTTATCACTTTAAACAGCCCCAGTCTCTCCTTAAAGGTAAAGGGACCCCTGACCATTAGGTTCAGTCGTGGCCGACTCTGGGGTTGCGGCGCTCATCTCGCTTTATTGGCCGAGGTCAATGTGGCCAGCATGACGAAGCCGCTTCTGGCGAACCAGAGCAGTGCACAGAAAAACCGTTTACCTTCCCGCCGGAGCAGTACCTATTTATCTACTTGCACTTTGACGTGCTTTCGAACTGCTAGGTTGGCAGGAGCTGGGACCGAGCAACGGGAGCTCACCCCGTCGCGGGGATTCGAACCGCCGACCTTCTGATCGGCAAGTCCTAGGCTCTGTGGTTTAACCCACAGTGCCACCCGCATCCCTTACTTACGTGCAACTTATTTCCGGCTTCACAATACTCCCCCGAGGCAGGCTTGTTTAGAAACCAGGCAGGTGGCAGCAGAGGTATGCCACTCGGACAGAGACGCCTGGCCTCACTTGCAACCTCCCTTTGTTTCCCTTGCCCTCTCCTGCAGGTACCCGCTGGCTCCCAGCAATCCCTTGGCACTCCTGCCCATGGCGCCTCCCCAGGGGCCCCCCGACCGAGCGGCCTGGACCGTGGCCGACCTGCTGCGGTTCTCTCCCCCGCCCTGTTCCCCGCCGCCCCCGCCACGACGCCCGCCTTGGAACCGCTACCGCCTGTCGGAAAGCATGAAGGGCCTGCTGGTGGCACTCCTGGGGGGCGGCGTCCCGGCCGGCTTCGTGGCGCCGTTCACCCGAATGGCCAACGAGGCCTCCGGCATCCCTTCGCTGGAGATCCTGCTCTTCCGCTGCATCCTGCACCTCCTCTTTGCGTGCTACCTGCGTTGCCAGAAGGCTCCTTGCTTCGGGCCGCGGGAGGCCCGCCAGCGGACGATCCTGCACGCCTCCATCAACGTCATCTCAATCGGCTGCGCCTACAGCTCCTTCATGGTGGTGCCCAGCGGGAACGCAGCCACCGTCCGCAAGGGCTCGTCGACCATCTGCTCCGTCCTGCTGGCGCTGTGCATCGAGAACGGCAGCTTGACGGGCTACGACTGGTTCGGGTTGGTGGGCAGCACGCTGGGCCTGATCATCATGGTGGTGCCCGACCTCCTGGACCTCGACAAGAGCACGCAGCTGTACGACACCTTCGGCTATGCCCTGGCCTGCCTCGGAGGGATGGCGCTGGCACTGGGGCTGGTCATCTTCCGGGCCCTGGACTTCCCGGCCAAGCTGGTGACGGTGGCCTTCCTCTTCGGCGTGGTGGGAAGCCTGGTGTGCTCGCCGGCCATGTTCCTCCTCCAGCAGCCCGTCATGCCCCTGGACCCCCTGACCTGGACTTGCGTGGCGGCCATCAGCTTTCTGGCGTTGGTCTCTTTCCTGTGTGCCAGCTACGCCGTCACCAAGGCGCACCCGGCCCTGGTGTGCGCCGTGTTGCACTCCGAGGTGGTGGTGACGCTGGCGGTCCAGTACTATGTCCTGCGCGAAGCCGTCACGCCCTTTGACATCATGGGGGCGGGGGTCATTCTCGGAAGCATAGTCATCATCACAGCCCAGAATATCAGCTGTGACGCGGCCGAAGAGGACGAGGATGCCAGTGTCCAACTGAAGGACAGCACATAGCCGCGGCGGGGCACGAGGTTCGGGCAGACTCCAGGAGGACGGACCGGAAGCAGGGACCTTCCAAAGGACCGAGCAGCGAGGGCGTCGCAGCTTTAAAATCCGCCTGCCTGCCCCCAACGGACAAGATGGTGGTGAGGCTTTGGACGAGGTAGCCGTCCGTTGCCTTTTGGACATCTGGGTGGAAAACGGCCCCCAAAACCCAATTACCTTTTCTAAGGAAAGGCCAGCGGACTTGGCTGGGACAGCTATTGGGTTCGCCTGCTTCTCAGAAAGTGGGTTCAGAGAAATGCCTAAGCCTGTGGTTTTGGTTTGATTTTTTATTGAGTTTTACGATTTTTTATTGTCACAATATCAATCACATCCAAAGGGGGGGAAACACATTTCCCATGTTTCCCCCTCCCGTCACGACTTCCCTAAACTTCGTGGGGGTTTTTTTACATATTAACTTCTCTTGCTTGCTTATAACTTGCTTATAAGGTTTTTACAATAATAATTATTGTTCTCTTATCATTTTAGCATCATCATCATATTTTCCGTATTTATTCTGTTAATTGTGTTTGGTCGAAACTTGCTAGTGAGTCCATTTCTTTAGATTGTTTCTGTAGGTGTGTCGCAAATGGTTCCCACTCTTTCTTGAAGTCTGTTGTCCTTGTCTCAAAGCCTTTTCGTTAGCTTTGCCATTTCAGGGTATTCCATCAGTTTTTCTTGCCATTCTTCTTTCGTAGGTACCGTATTTTTCACTCTATAAGACGCACCAGACCACAAGATGCACCTAATTTTTGGAGGAGGAAAACAAGAAAAAAAATATTCTGAATCTCAGAAGCCAGAACAGCAAGAGGGATCGCTGCGCAGTGAAAGCAGCAATCCCTCTTGCTGTTCTGGCTTCTGGGATAGCTGCGCAGCCTGCATTCGCTCCATAAGACGCACAAACATTTCCCCTTACTTTTTAGGAGGGAAAAAGTGAGTCTTATAGAGCAAAAAATACGGTATTTCTTAACCTGAAATGCCTAGTAAAAAAAGCTTCTGGCCTTTTAACAAAAGTTATCTTAAACATTCTTTTCATTCCATTAGAAATCATTTCCCCATAACTTTTAATTATTTTGCAATTCCACCACATATGGAAAAACGTGCCTTCTTTTTCTTTACACTTCCAACACTTATTAGAGCCTGCTCTAAACATTTTTGCCATTTTTACAGGTGTAATATACCATCTGTACATCGTTTTCATATAATTCGCTTTTAACAGTATACAGCCAGTACATTTTAAATTCACTTCCAATAATTTCTCCCAGTCTTCCATTAATATGTTGTGCCCACTTAATCATTAATAACAACAACAACAACAACAACAACAAATTTTATTTATACCCCACCCTCCCCAGCCAAGACCGGGCTCAGCGCGGCTAACAACCAATAATAAAAACAAGTTGACTGAAATACAACTTAAAAACAAGATTAAAATACATTAAAATGCAGCCTCATCACAGGAGAAAGGAAAAAAGAAAGAGGGGGAGGGAGTCAAATTGATTCTAAGCCAAAGGCCAGGCAGAACAACTCTGTCTTACAGGCCCTGCGGAAAGAAATCAGATCCTGCAGGGCCCTGGTCTCATGAGGCAGAGCGTTCCACATCAGGGCCAGTGTTGAAAAGGCCCTGCTTCTGGTTGAGGCTAATCTAACTTCCTTAGGGCCCGGGACCTCTAGGGTGTTGCTATTTATGGACCTTGAGGCTCTCCGTGGGGCATACCGGGAGAGGCGGTCCCGTAGGTACAAGGGTCCTAGGCCGTGAAGGGCTTTAAAGGTCAAAACCAGCACCTTAAATCTGACCCTGTACTCCACTGGTAGCCAGTGCGGCTGGAAAAGCACTGGGTGAATCTGCTCCCATGGCAGAGACCCCATGAGGAGCCTCGCTGCAGCATCCTGCACCCGCTGGAGTTTCTGGGACAGTTTCAAGGGCAGCCCCGCGTAGAGCGAATTGCAGTAGCCAAGCCTGGAGGTGACCGTCACATTTAACCTCCTCATCTTGGAAACGCCTAACCCTCTGGAACCGGAGACCCAAGGGCTGAGCAGGTGTGTGTCGTCTTTCCCCCTACCTCTGAGAGCGTGGAAAGGATGCTGGAGAGATGTCTCCTTCTCGACTCCCTGCAAAAGGCATTGCTTTTGTGACGTTGCTTCAGGCCGTCAACACATCCTTTTGCAGCGCTGCTTTTATCGCATCCCCGAAAGTGGAAGAGGAGTTTTCTCGCCTTGTAGGCCGGCCGCAACACACACACAGGAAATGGGGGGGGGGGATTGGTGTTGCATATTCATCTGACACCCATTAGGCCTCTTAGAGGTGGAAAAAGAAGTCAGGTCAGCTGAGCAGAGGACAGCTTTGCTGTAAACAAAACCGCAGGAGAGGACAGCCTTCGGATTCTGGGGCCGTTTCCTGATGGGTGCGAGGCAGAGGATGGGGAGAGGAAGCAACGGTGGGGTGCGCTGAAGTGAGCACCCCCAAACTGCATCACGCCTCCCCCGCCCGCAGGAACAGTACCCCAAAAATCAGCTTCAGGAGGGAAGTGGCCAGGGGCTGCCTCCAGCAATTTTTTGTTGGGGGGAAGGACCACGACACTGGAATCTTTCTGAATTCCATATGAAAACTAGACAGTGCCTGCACTTTGGAAGGCATAATAATAATAATAATAATAATAATAATAATAATAATAATTTATACCCCGCCCTCCCCAGCCAAGGCCGGGCTCAGGGCGGCTAACAAGCAATAATAAAAACAAGTTGAATGAATGCAACTTAAAAACAAGATTGAAATACAACAATTAAAATATTGAAACATTAAAATATTAAAATGCAGCCTCATCACAGGAGGAGAAAGGAAAAAGAAAAAAGAAAGAGGGGGAGGGAATCAAATTGGCTCCAAGCCAAAGGCCAGGTGGAACAACTCTGTCTTACAGGCCCTGCGGAAAGAAATCAGATCCCGCAGGGCCCTGGTCTCATGAGACAGAGCGTTCCACCAGGCCGGAGCCAGTGTTGAAAAGGCCCTGGCTCTGGTTGAAGCTAATCTGACTTCCTTAGGGCCCGGGACCACTAGGGTGTTGCTTATAGAATTTCGGGACATTTGCATATTCCTTCTAGTTCCCGGAATGCTTCCAGAAGTTTCGTTCCCAGCTATTATTTTGAGGTCTTTTTAGACAAGGCAGGGAGGAGGCTGATTAACAACGAACCCCAAACTTTGGGACCTCCCCCTCCAAAGACGTGCCCAAGTTTTGCAGCAGCAACCCCACGTTTTGCAACTCGTGCCCCGCAAACTGAGCAATCGATACGTAAAAGTGGGGTTCGTAGTTAACACCCCAAAATCCGACGGCGTCCGAGTCACTTCAAACCGGTGCCAAAGTTTGGCAATCGCGTTGCAACGTTTTGCAGCGAAAACCCCCTGCGCTTTGCAGCGCCTGGCCAGACTGAGTGTTCGTAGTTAATGAAGCCACGGGGAGAGGAAGTTGGGGGGGGGACCCCTGATCATTAGGTCCAGTCGTGACCGACTCTGGGGTTGCGGCGCTCATCTCGCTTTACTGGCCAAGGGAGCCGGCGTACAGCTTCCGGGTCATGTGGCCAGCATGACTAAGCCGCTTCTGGCGAACCAGAGCAGTGAATGCAAACGCCGTTTACCTTCCCGCCGGAGCGGTACCTCTTTATCTACTTGCACTTTGACGTGCTTTCAAACTGCTAGGTTGGCAGGAGCAGGGACCGAGCAACAGAAGCTCACCCCGTCGCGGGGATTCGAACTGCCAACCTTCTGATCGGCAAGTCCTAGGCTCTGTGGTTTAACTCACAGCGCCACCCGCGTGTTCGTAGCTAATGAAGCCAGGGGAGAGGAAGTTGAAGAGCACCCAAATCCTGCCACGGAAGGAAACAGGGTAGGGTTTATTAAAGGAAGGTGCTGTTCTTCCTAGGTGCTCCTACAACGCCCCCCCTCTATCTGACACCCTGGGGTACCTATTCTGTGCGGCTATACCACCCAAATGAGCCAAATGGTGGGGCAGAAATGACTCTGCAACCAACTTTAAAAGGTGGTGGTAAGCACACCCAGTGGTTGGGCGCAACTAAGTTTTACTCAGAGTAATCCCATTGAAAATGATGGACATAACTTAGTCACACCCATCAATTTCAATGAGTCTGTTCTGAGTAAAACGTGAGCTGGATGCCACCCCCTTTTCTGGGCTAAGTTCTCAAAAGCGTTGCTCAAAGCACTGGGCCAGGTGGAAGGAAAGAAGAATGGGAGAGGATACTGCAGGAAACGGGTGGAAATACCTTTGAGAGGCATGTGGCCACTGAAGGGGGAGAATGGAAAAGAAAAGAAAAGAAAAAGGTCTCCTCTACTTAACAGTCTCCGCACCAGCAAATCCTGCCTGAAATGGGAAGGCTGTCCTGCAGAGAAAATGCCTGCACTGTGAACTATGGAACTCCTTGCCACAAGGAAAATCTTGCAGCAAAAGAACTTGGCATTTTCCAGAGGTGGGTTACTTATCAGCAGAAAGGCTGTGCCTGCAATTCCCAGCCGATTATGCCAAACTCTGCCTCCCATTTGGCGAACAGGTTCAGAAAAGGGCAGTCAAAATAATAATTATAATATTTATAATAATTTATTATTTATACCTCCCCCCCAAATCTGGCTGAGTTTCCCCAGCCACTCTGGGCGGCTCCCAATCGAGTGTTAAAAACAATACAGCATTAAATATTAAAAACTTCCCTAAACAGGGCTGCCTTCAGATGTCTTTTAAAGATAGGATAGCTGCTTATTTCCTTCACATCTGAAGGGAGGGCATTCCACAGGGCAGGTGCCACTACCGAGATGTGTGGAGAAAACGAATAGGCCTCTCGTGATATAAGAACCCCATGAATTTGTATGGCGGAAAATACAAGACAGGCGAAAGGAGGGACATCATCGCACAGCGTTAAACTGCGGAACTCCCTGCCACAAGATGGTAGCGACGGGCACCCATTTAGGCGGCTTCGTGTGCCCCTGAATAACACCATTTTCTAGGCACCACACAAATGGGCGTGCCGATTGTTTCATGCTCCAGTCTTGCTCGTGGGCATTTGGCGGGCTTCTGGCCACTGAGAGAACACAGTGCAGGACCAGAGTGGGTCCCCTTGACCTAATCTGGCTGCAAGCATCATACACGTTATTGTGGCTGATGGGAGTTGTCATGCAAGTAGGAGTAAGACGCGGGTGGCGCTGTGGGTGAAACCACAGAGCCTAGGACTTGCCGATCAGAAGGTCGCGGTTCGAATCCCCGCCACGGGGTGAGCTCCCGTTGCTCGGTCCCTGCTCCTGCCAACCTAGCAGTTCGAAAGCACGTCAAAGTGCAAGTAGATAAGTAGGTACCACTCCGGCGGGAAGGTTAACGGCGTTTCCGTGCGCTGCTCTGGTTCGCCAGAAATGGCATAGTCATGCTGGCCACATGACCCGGAAGCTGTACGCCGGCTCTCTCGGCCAATAAAGCGAGATGAGTGCCGCA